ATTGGAAGCATAACTACTCACCATCTTACCATTGTGATCCCAAATCAAACACCACAACCATTATCGGCACCATGAATGTTAAGTTCAAATTCATTAATAGCAGGATTAGGCCACTTGATGAACATAGGAGGAGAAACCATATTAGGATTTTTTATAATGGATATATAAAAAAAAGTAAGACAATCTTTCATGCCTCAAAAATGCTTGAAAGTAAAAAAACAAACTATGAAGAGCTGATGAATTTTGAAAGAGAAAGAACTTAAAATCCTTTGATGAAACATTTTAATACCATTGTGCTCACTCTTATTCCTTTCATCCCAATAAAACTAGAAAACCAATAAAGGAAATGACAGTGAAAATGTGCCTTTTAACTTTAAGATGAAACTAACCATCTAAAAAAGTAGAGATACAAAAGATATTTAAATCAGTTTTAATTTGCAAACCTTTCTCTAAAGCAATCCAAACTTTAGCAGTAACAGGCCCATTCAAGAAAAACATGGCTAATAGTCTCAACATGATAACAACATTGACATTTAGAAACTAAGCATAAACCTTTTTCATATAACCCACTGCCAATAGGAATATAACCTTTAAAAATTCTCCAATCTAACATAAAAGAACTTAAAGGAGTAGAGGAATTCTAAATCTTACCAAAGGTATGGATAAGATATTTTTGTTTTTACTTAAATGTCACAATTTATTAAGACTAAAATGCCATCACCAGATAATTTACACATAATTTTATCACTACAATTACTGTGAATGGGAGTATCACAGACAAAGTCCTCCAAACTTTGAGGAATAATCTCAGGAAGATGATTTTTAGACCAAACATCATTGCTGATGAACCAATAAACCTTCAATAAAGAGGTAGAATGAGTGTTAAAGTGAGAGTTTAGTGACACTAAATCAGACTAGTCATAAAAAGAATAACATATTATCAAATAAAAAGAATTTCGTATGACCTTTATATAAAGGAGTCCCAAGGTAACAGATAGGAAGAACTTAATTGTAGAAGTTAGTGCATAATTTAATATTCTCACAATGAGCATGAGACATACCATTGCCAACAATGAAAGAGTATTTGATATTATTACAGTTAAGAAAACTTTCTTTTTAAAGGTAGACAAAAACTTTTTGACCTTCATAACACATAAAATAGAAACATTATAAAGATGATAATATTGTTAGCAAAGTAAATATGAGAGATATCAAGACCGGTAGTGTTTCTATAGTAAAAGGTTTTCTTTATTAAAAAAAAGCTAGGATAAACCTCTAGATAAGTAGTCATCAACCATAATGTATAGAGCAAGGGACAAAGGATCACTTTGCCAGATACCCTGAGCACCTTTAAAAAGGCCATGAGACTTAACTTTAATTATATTATAAAACCAACAATTTTCAATAATGCTTTTAAGGATATTAATGGACTTAACATCAAAATAAATTTATTTCATAATATTAAACAAAAAAGTCCAATTAATATTATCATAAGCCTTGGTAATATCAAGTTTGTAGATTATATTATGACATGTATGTTTTTTTTTTTCAATCTCATGAAGCAATTTTTGAGCAAGCAAAACATTATCATTAATGTTTCTTCCTTTAACAAAGCTTATTTTATTTAAAATATAATTTTAGGAAGAAAATTAGCCAACCTAGCAGTCAAAATTTTGGATAAGAGCTTGTTAAAGAAAGTGCAAAGGAAAATAGGTTTATAATCATTCCAAGTTCAGGTTTAATCTTTTAGGGATCAAGATAATAGAAGTGCTAGTAAAACATTTAGGTATAGGAAAACCTTTAAAAAAAGTAGTTATAGCTTTGTACATATCCTTTTTAATAGTTCTTCAACATATTTGAAAGAAAAAAGAAGTGAATCCATTAAGACCAACCACATAATCCTTATTCATGCTCATCAAAGAGTTGAGAATCTCAAGTTCATCAGGGAAATTAGTAAAAGTATAATTATCTTTAGCAAAAATATAAGAAGGAATAACAAGAGAAATAGAAATAGGCATAGCATGCTTGATAGAACCAAAAGAATTCTTAAAAAAAGGAAATGATATATTCAAAAACTAATGATTGATCATCACACTAGTCACCAAACTCCAATTTGATCTTATTAATGAAGGATTTAGATTTTTACCATTAGCCATAGCATCGAATTGCTATGTGTTCCTATCACCTTCCGAAATATGTTTGGAGGCCACTTTTTTTTTTTTTTTTTTTTTTTTTTTTTTTTACATTTGTTGAGAATCTCAAGTTCATCAGGGAAATTAGTAAAAGTATAATTATCTTTAGCAAAAATATAAGAAGGAATAACAAGAGAAATAGAAATAGGCATAGCATGCTTGATAGAACCAAAAGAATTCTTAAAAAAAGGAAATGATATATTCAAAAACTAATGATTGATCATCACACTAGTCACCAAACTCCAATTTGATCTTATTAATGAAGGATTTAGATTTTTAACATTAGCCATAGAGTTGAAATACTATGTGTTCCTATCACCTTCCAAAATATGTTTGGAGGCCACTTTTTTTTTTTACTAGTATTCTTGTTTTATAAGTTGATGAATGAACAAGTTAGCCTCAGCAAAGCAGACCTGATCCCAATCAACATCCCTAGAAGAAATAGCAAACTTATTTTCAAGCATCGAAACCTCTTTCTTAGCCTTCCTAATGTTATAAAAAATATTTCCAATTTTAAATTTGTTTCACCATATTAAAGCTTGTTTGATTCTCTTAAGCTTTAAGGCAAAACAGATCATTTTATTGTCTCCCTCATAGTGTGAAAGAGGAGTGGACATTCTCTTTAACTGCCATAGCAAAATCAAGAGCCTTCAACCACGTATTTTTAAAATGGGAAGGAGTGAACCTTTAGACGTAAGTTGAGAATTGTTCTAAAGCAAAGGTGGATGACCAGAAATAGTCCTACTAAGTAAGATGCTCAATAATAGATAAAGGAAACATAGATAGTCAATCGTTATTAAATAATATTCTATCTTATCTTTCTCAAACTCTATTATATTAAAGTCACCTCTAATAAACCAAGGTTCCTTAGAAGAATTTTCAAGGTCAACAAGCCATTGCCAAAGAGGCAATCTACCATGTCTTGTGCAACTAAATAAACTATATACCAATATTATAAATATTTAAAATAGAGAAGTAGCAATCAATAATTTGATCAAAATCATCAACACTAGTTAAATTAATATCACTTTTACAAAAAACCCAAATTTTACTGGAACAATTAGCAAAGGAAAAAATCAAACCCTAGGTGTTTTTAACAAGTGATGATTTTAGTAAGAACCAATCACGGGCTCTAAAAGGACTAAAAAAGAAATATTAAGATTTCCGTATAAATTGTGGATACGCATACAAGTTTCACGATCAACAACACACGTAATATTCGCCACCATATAACTAATCATTAGATCATTTTTTAAAAGAAGAGTTGGATCTTGTGATTCTAGAATCAGCTTAAGAACCAAGTAATTACTTCTTTTTTTTAGTTTTTCTTATAATTGTTTCAGAAATCATCTTTAGAAACATTAACTAAACTTATGTCCCCAAGTTTATCAACAAACATGTGGTAATAATCCTCATTGGCTGAATTTATCTCCCCCTCCTCTCAATTATGAGGAGAAGGACATATACCTTCTTATTCCCCACTAGATTGCTCAGTAAAAACCTCCTTTTCTTTATTATCTCTGACCATCTCAAGATATTCAGCAGAAGATAACACAAAAACTAGAATGTTAACATAAGGAACCATTTTAAAAACATTTAAAGAAATATAAATTTGATGAGGACCTTTAGCTATATTAACAGTATTACATTCAGGTCCTAGAATATGCAGAATAGTTGAATCAAGCCCAACATCAAGAGCAGCTTGAATTAAAGAATTGGTAAGAACATAATTACCTTCGTTGGGATTCTTGCAATTGGTATCGATTATATTCTCATTGACTTCGTTGGGTAAACCAATAGTATCAGCAGGATGATCAAGAGCAACTATAACAACAACATATTTAGGTTTATTTGAAGAAATCTTTCTAAGACTTAGCTTCAAATAATAACATTCATGTTTATTATGACTCAAAGTTTTGCAATGATTACAAAAAGCTAGAAAATTATTCATTACAACCTTTTAAACATAACAATACTTTTCAAGACCTAACCAGATGTGTTACAATATTGCTTAGTTATGTCGAGTTCAACCAGAACTCCTGCAATAGAGGGCCTATAATCAATGGTAGTAGCATTATCAACTTCTAAATGATGACCAAAGTGACTATCCGAACCATATAAAATCCTAGGAGAAAAAATGCGGTCTTAATTTCGGGAATGAAATTCAGATAGGTACAATAGGGGATTCAGTTGAAATATCAAATAGAAGAGACCACTTAATCAATTTGCCTTACATAATATCTCCAAATACCATATATATGTTAGACCACATAATATCTCCAAATACTCGGATTTATGTGCTGTAAATTTTCGCTTAAAATTAAATCATATTATTAAGTTATATGAACATTTTAAATAGTCTTGAAAGTTCTAATAAAATTGTAATCAAGCAACAATTTACGGCAAGAGTTCAATGATATTTTTTGAAATAGCAATGTTGACCTCTTTTTTGCCCTTATGTCACCCCGAGCATGTCTCTTTCCCTTTGATTGAGTAGAATTTGAGCCCAAGCGAACTCAATCATGCACAATCGACTCAATCAAGACCCAAATTAATTTAAATTAAGTCAATTCGAGCCCAATTTTGTCAAAGTGGCGGTATCACAGATCAACTTGAATCAGGCCTTATTTGGGCTAAATTTTGGCCCAACTGGTTCGATTTAATCCTAACTAAAATCCAAATGTCTTTTTAATCATTTTGAATCAGCTTCCTGATTAGAAAAATTAACCAACGGCTCTGATCCCCTTGAGATTCTAAATCTGTCGCATGGCTTTGCGTATTCGGGAGGCGATTCAGACGACTTTAAGAATCGATCGATCGTTTCCTCTTTTTTTCTCTTGCCTTCGTGAAGCCCAGATGGGGTAGGTTTACGAGGGGATTAGGCTCCTCCTCCGGGGAATTTGCAGGAAGAGCCGAAGAACCTCCGATCTCTTACCCGATCCATTGTTCGAAATCCCCAGTCAAAGCCCCTTCGTCCTTTGTCTACCTGGTTCTAACCGACCTAAACCTCCAACCTTCTCACCTCCCCCGATCGGCCTCCACACCGACCAGCAGTCGCGATTAGGTATCAGAGCTCCGACTCCTCTCAGATCCTGCTCGGCCCTGACCTCACCCATCCTGATTTCACTTGCTTCTATCAGTCCTCGAATCCAAGCCTGACTCCGGCCAGATCCTGATGCCTGCACATGTGAAGCCCATCCGATCTGCTATCACACCAGACCATCTTGATCCACCTCCCAGCTGCCGTCTACCGATGCCGGATCACGCCTCAGCCGAGCTTCCTCCCTCCTAGCCACCAACTCGCCGTTGAGCATCCTCAAGCAGGTATAAACTCTCCCTATCTCTGATTTTTCCTTTCTTGTTTAGCTGTGATTGTTACCATTCCAGAATATATTCATAATATCAATCCATTCATATAAATCTCTCATTGCTTGAGACATGTATGGGGCTTGGGCATATATGATGATCTGAGTGTCGAGTTTGATGGACTTCTCATCCTAAAGCCCAAATTAAAACTCTCTGATGGTTGGAGTTTATGCATAGTAGCCACATCAAGAAAAAGAAAGGAATCATTTTAGATGTTTTATAAATTTTATAAGTTAAACACTTAATGAGCATCACATTTATTTTATTTTAAATGTTTGTCTAGGCATGATGAGATTTTCGCTGCATGACAATGCCCTTTAGGCTTTCGTTGGAGACTTGATTAATTTTAGAGGAAGGTATATATGTGTTCAAGAGCAATTTCATACCTGAAAAGTTTATTGTGATGAAGGAATGAATACATGAATACAAGTACTCTCTCCATTAAACACAACCTATTTGTTTTGTCTGTTTGGGGTACTAGCATTTGTTGTAATATGAAGATTTGAGTGCACAGTTGAGATTCGGTAACCGTAATGATATTGGAAAGCTAAATGTATACTTAAGCTTTGACACTATATTTATGTTTGACACCAAAGGTCTTATGAATTTGTTGGAGATATCACATGCATACCTAAGTTTTGAAACTGCAAGCATCCTTAGTTTGGTTGAATGTATTATACATAGGTATCAAGCATCAATGTTGTGTTACATTAGCAAGGGAACATGATACCTATTTTGAACTCCTAGTAAATGATGTGTGTATGCATTTGGACAATCCTTATTTAATTGAAGATTGTGAACATACATTTGTGTCTTGATATTGCATACAAATATAGCTTTGCATATTTTTGGCTAGTCATGCATTGAATATGTTACTTGTTAGCAATGCCTATGTTGTATGTATGCATGTATGAAACTCAATATTCCATATATCATGATAGATGCATGAGATAATATATATATACATGTATGATGGATCTCATGCATCAATCTTTATGGAACTCTTATATGTGTGTGATGGATTTATGTGCATTGAAAACATGTTATTTTTTTATCTTACTTGACAGTTGATTTGTATCATGATTTTAATACTTGCTCTCTTTATGTTTGCTTATGAGGTACGTTAGGTCTTGCATACACGTTGGTTAGTGAGTCACGTTTTCTTGGGCCTTATGAGAAGGCTTTTGCATTTTGTCGGGGTATGCGGATTTGCCCTGGTATGCTATGTTCACGTATATTTTATGCAACTTGTAATGACCTCTCATTGTATGGTGAATGGTTACACCAGCGCACACACATGATTGTTTTTTTTACTTTCCCACCCTATGATGTATATTTGGATGTTTAGTTATTGGCCATATGATAGTGCATCTATGAAGCCCTAACCTTGTTGGTTAGGGTTTGCCCCCTCTATGAACTTTAGAAACCTTTACGGTTACCTAGGCTTGTAGTGTAGGCTCATCTATTGTGTCATATGCATTGATGTTTTCGTGCTCGAAGCTTTGGATGTTTAGTTATTGGCCATATGATAGTGCATCTATGAAGCCCTAACCTTGTTGGTTAGGGTTTGCCCCCTCTATGAACGTTAGAAACCTTTACGGTTACCTAGGCTTGTAGTGTAGGCTCACCTATTGTGTCATATGCATTAATGTTTTCGTGCTCGAAGCAGGCCTCACTAAGATGGTTTTCTTTGAGCTTTAAAATTTTAAATAACTCTAAAAATTACTTCTTAACAACTTTTTAGCTTTCAAATGTTGTCTTCCACAAACATATCAGTAACATGAAAAATGAAATAAAATATGAGCTCTAGTATATTAGGTTAATCTTTCTATTAGCTTTGTATTGCGTGTCCCCTTATAGATGAGAGATTTAGCATTGTTATTTAAATTTAGTGCATCATCGGTATTTAATGTTCATTTGCTATTAACAATAATAAAGAAAACTATTGAAAGTCAAATTAATTAAGTCAATTAATGAATTATAACGAGGGAACTCATGATTAATCATAAATCAATAATGAACCAACCAAAGTGATAATCATACACCAAAAATTCTTTAAGTAACAAACAAAAATCGGTTAAACAACAAGATGATTGTTGGGTAATCTGGGCCTATGAGGCTATTAAATTAGTCTCTCAAGGAGGGTGAACTAAACCTCATAGCCTTGATTTAACAACGGCAATTATCACTCAACTTCAATAATCAATAATAAATCATCAACAAATTAAGCTTTTGTAACCTTCATTATGTTTAATTTCTATTTACATGTGGTTTAATTTGATTAATTGTAATAGAAATTTTTTGCTATTGAAGCAATGTAGGAAGATGAGGAAAATTTTTTTAAAAAAATCTACAGCTATTGTGGCGGTTATAGGTGGTTATAGCCACCACAATTTTGTAAAGCACTAGTGTGATTTTAACTACTGCAATAGCCAGACTAAACGGGCAGCTAAAACTGCATCTATTCTTTAAAATTATAGAGGTTAAAATCATTTCTATAACTAGCACTTTAGCAATTTTGCCCCAACAGTCATGAAACTGCCGTGAAATATCTTTGCAGTGGATTCCAATCACGATGGTCTTGCAAAGGATTTAGAACCATTGCAAGCAATCTAGCGGCAGTTAAAACTACCAGAAAAGCCTAAAATTAGTGTTCTGATAATCGACTTTTGTAGTGTATATATATATACTCTTAAACGGGTTTATGAGGCCGGAAAAGCACAAATGAATTTTTTATTTCGTAAGACCTGTACGCCTTATTACTATTTCATTTTTATTTTGCCTTAATAGTATTCTTTATTGGATTCCACATATATATAAAATATTAAATATACTTTTACTGGGTTTATGAAGCCCGTAATGCATGCATGCATTTTTTATTTCATAAGCCATGCATGCCATATGACTATTCCATTTTGGTTATATTTCTATCATTAAATGTATATATTATTGTGTTTCCATCTCGTCCTTTTAACAAATAGTTTTTGTTTGATGGATAATAAGTTTAGATTATTTGTAGTAAATAATTTTTTTTCATCGTGTTTTTGTGTGTGTATGTGTGTGTGCGTGTGTATATGTATATATATATATATATATATATATAGAGAGAGAGAGAGAGAGAGAGAGACTCAAGCTGCATTACTATTTTCTGTGAAATATGAGAGTTATGACTTAACTTTTTTCCCTAATGTAGGTAATTCATGTAGTCAAGAAGTTCTGTTGCAACTCGATATAATTATTAGTCATATTGTTATAATTAGCCTGAGTAGGAAGAAAAACTTATATAATTATTATTCATATTGTTGCAACTTTTGTTGATGTTTGGGCTCCTAACTCTGATGTAATATCCCCAAATTAAGAGAGGTACAATGAGATTCATCTAATGCGATCGCATATTGCTCAACTATTCATCCATAAAAGAAGAAAAGCTTGAACAAGTAGGTCAGGAGGAAGTCAACTTCTTATAGATCAAGCCAAAGATCTTGTAAACACTACATCATCTTTAAGCTTTACAATAGCTACCTCAAACGCCACATGAAAAAAATTTATAACTCTTGATGCATTTGGATTAAAAAATAATTCAATAAGATTATTAATTAATGATTAAAAACACTTTTTTTATTTGTACATTTAGTAGATTATCCATAAGTTCAACTCGAGAATTGAATTATTTTTTTTTAAATATTTCTTTTCAGTATGTAACTCAATTTTGCTTACTCTGTGTAATGTGAAACTTTCATGTTTCTAAATGTTTCTCATTTCAGATTTCACCAATCATGAAAACATATATGTGCCTTTCAATTTTCTTTAATGGTTAGTACATGGTTCGTTATAAGCAATATGAACTCCTTCATCTTGGTGCTATTACATGCCTAAGATTTGCATTGCTATTTCTAAGATGCAAACAAGATGGTTGAACTCAGAGAAATTCTTACAATGCAATTTTTCAGTTATAATAGGTAATATATATTACTGCAAATTTAGCTAACTGTGAATATTAATTTCCAAATTTTATGATATATTATGATTATTGTTTTGTTTTTAATATATTCTTGATATATTTCAAATTCACATACGAAATTTGAGGATCAACATATATGATTTATGATTTCATGTATGTTCAACTGTGACACAAAATATGTTGGATTATGTTGTTTTTATTATTTATTGGAATACATGTTCATTTAAAGCTATTTTTCTTATTCAATCATATATTTAAGTTTGTTATGTAAATTGAGGTTCATTTTGCAATTATATTATCAATATGAACTATGTACTTTCATTAGTCAGCATGAATTCCATTGTGAAACTAATTACTTCATAGAAACTAAAAAAATATGAAATAATTCATGCATGCATTCATAGAATCTTTTTATTTAGATAAACAATGCTAAAAAAAATTAATTATAATTGATTTAATTTTCTATAGTCATACTAACTATTATTTTAGAAATTATAATATTATAAATTACTATTTCTAAACATTTTACATATATGTAAAATTTTCTTTGAAATGTTAAAAAATTGTATAAATTATAATATGCAAAGATTTTAGTCTTTTATAATAAAAATGGTAGAGTCAATATTCAAATCAAATAGTTAATATTTGCTTTTAGTCTTCTATGAAGCTCCATTTTCTTCACAATTGCTTTTAAACAAACTTTTAGAATAGCAACAACCCAGCGAAATAAACTCTGATTCATTGATAACAAACTCAGGTGGGCTTGAGAGAGCCATGGTATCTGAATCAGTTGGTGTCAGCCCTAGTCAGAAGACTTCATCGGGTCTCCCTCTTACTTCCTCTCCTTTTCGCAGATCTATGACGTCGGAGCCCTAAACCCATCCACTAGTAGATCCTGCTCGCTTCTACCTCTCTCTGGGCAATACAAGGTAATGCAAGTTAGTAAAGTTATTTATTTCACTTGGTAAAAAATCATCAAGTTTAGGCTGGCATAACCTCAGTGGATGATAACATATTATGTATTGCAAATGATAGAGAACACTTAAAAATCTTAGTATCATAGTCAAATTCCGACCATCAATCTATATATATCGAAGATGTGTCAAATATTTAATCTTCTCAGGTATCATTTTCAAGTTTTGAGCACATATTTAATAAGCGTATGTTTCTCGATGCTTTGAATATTTCAATAAGTGCATTGCAAATATCCTTAGTAGAAGTTAGTTTAATTGATAAAAAACTTTAAAATTAATGTTAAGATATGAAATTTCAATTCTTTCATTATCTTTCATTATCAGTTAACGTTTTTATAAGCGAAGAGAAATAAAAATGCAAATGCAAAGAATTTATGTGTTTCAGTTTTATAATTTTACTACTTAGAGATCTCAACTAAGATATGAAGTTATCTATTAGAACAAACGTATTAGTTGCAAGACAATCATTGAATATAACTATACTCTCACATCATGTGATGTTTGAAGTTATCAGTTCAAATTTTATATCTTAACATTAATTTTAAAATTTTGTAACAATTAAACTAACTTCTAATTAAGATATTTGCAATGCACTTATTGAAATATTTAAAGCATCGAGAACCTTATGTTTATTAAACATGTGCTCCAAACATGTAAATGATATCTGAGGAGATTGTATATTTGATACATTTTCGATATATATAGATTGATGGTCGAAATTTGACTATGTTACTAAGATTTCCATGTATTCTTTATCATTTGCAATGCATAATCTGTTATCATCCATTGAGGTTAAACCAGCCCAAACTTGATGGTTTTTTACCAAGTAAAATAAATAACCTTACTAACTTGTTTACTTATATTATAAATAAATTTGTTATCATCCACTGAGTTTAAGCCAGCCTAAACTAAGTTGTACCTTTTACCAAGTTAAAGTAATTATGTTCATGTTTATGATAAGAAAAATAGATAGTTCATGAAAAAGACTAATCATGATTAAAAAAAATAGAGTGTGCGGCCTCTATAAATCCTAATGAGTGCCCACATAGTGTTTGCAGGCATTTACAGCTGGTTTTACCTCTCTATGAAGATACAAAAATTATGGATCCATAAAAAATAAATATAACGGGCCTCCACCTCCACAAAGTTATATCAGCTTCTACAAATGTCGATTTCTAGAAAATTATAATGACATATTATAACCATTTAAATTAAAATTGATTGCAAAATAATATAATTGTTTTAATGTTTGATGACAAAAAATATGTAAGAAAATATATTTTCTATGTAGGTAATTAAAATCTTGAAACCGTAGCTCTCTTATATAAATAATTTCTTAAGCCCTAGCTAAGCTTTAAATCTTATTCTCACAAACACTAATTTTAATTTTTCTTTTTTGTAATTTTCATTTTTCTTTTAATAGCTCTTGTATTATAGATGAAAAATATTTGAAAATGGTACTCATTTCGTACATAAGAGTTAGAGAGAGAGAGAGAGAGAGAGAGATTGCAATACAAATTTATCAATATAATTACTCTCTTCAAGTTGCAATCAAATATTTTGATAATCAATATTCCTCAAGGCTATGCTGAAAGCATAGGTCTATAGTTCCAAAGAAAGGATAGCTTCTTATCATGAAGTTAATATGAATGAGGTAGACTATGTGGGCATATGATATATGGTCCTAAATGATAAGAATGCTTTTATGAACTTACAATGGAAATTTATTTTATTTGTAGGCATTTTTTTTTTTTATTAGTCCTATCGAATTTTTACTGTAAGCAGCAACTAATTGATCATTCGAATTTGTAGAATTTAAAATAAGAGCTTCAAATTTTGCTTTTTTGTAAAAATATATGCCTAAACAAACTCAACCATTAGGGATGGCTCCGAAAAGTTTTCTTTATGGGGGTAAGGTAACAAAAGTATCATAATTATGGTGACTTCAATCCTCTTAAAATTCTCTTAAACATTAAGCTATAAAGCATTTGATCTCCAAACTTTTTATTACGAGTGTAATATAAATATCTAACATGAATTAGGCATAATTTAGCAAAAATTGATTTGGTGTTTTTCTTTATCTTTAGCTCAAAATTCAATTGATAAAATAAAAGTGATTTGTTGCAAAAAAAATTTGACAATTTTTTTAGGAGAAGCTTCAATTGTTATGATTTATAGCAATAAATGATATATATATTACAAAACAGAAAATCAAAATCAAGCATCATCTTACAAATATTCACGTGTTATCATCCCTCCACAGTCCACATCCTTTTTGACTAATTGCTAGTAAGTTGTATGTATAATCTTTTCAATGTTCGCACAAGATGAATCAAACTTAAACAATATTTATGTATTTCATTATCATTTCAAGCAATATCAATAATCATGAGTCATATATAGAATTCAACTTGCCTCAAATATACCCAAGATCACACGAATTAGGGGTGCCAAAATAGGTCCATGGGTCGGGTTCGGGTCAAATTTGAATTGACCCAGATTTAAATGGGTTGACCCTAGCCATGCCCATTTTTGAAAACGGATTAGAAAATCCAACCTGGACCCGACCCGTGCAAGTTACGGGTTGACCCGACCTAACCCACAAATCTATGGATGAGCTTGCGAACTACAGAGTGCGGATGTCGTGGAGGAGGATTTCCAAACACGGAGGAGTACATATATTAATTAATACCTATATTATTACCTTGTATGCATGTATCCACGTCTAGACGCCCTGATTCACGAGCTCAGTGAAATTAAAGTATAAAACCATAAATGAATAGCTCAAAATCACGTGTAGGTACAGGCATATAGCTGGATGTACTGAGCAAGATTTTTCTTTTGGCGAAAGTTAAGGGCAAAGCCCCAATTCCATTAAAGTATAACTAGTTACATATGTTAAAGAAAGGTATAAAGAACCAAAAAAGGGGGGAAAACTCCATAAATACCAAAAAGAGACAGGACCTTCCAGCGCCAAAAAAATGCGTGAAAAAGGAATAAATACATGAAACAGAAGACTGCTAAGAGAAATGAATAGGGCTCAGGAAAATTCAGATTACATACGCTGATCAGCACACACCCCCGATTGCGGAGACTGCCATCAAGAGAAAATCATATTGCAAGAGGCCGCCATCCAGGGCAATGACAATAGCAATCAATCATCAATGCCCTAAAAAACCGTTAAAAAAACCCCAATAACTAGGGCTGCAAGCGAACCAAACGTTCGACGAGCTACTCGTTGTTCGGTTCGATTAAAGCTCGTTTGCGATCGTTTAATTAACTAAACAAACAAACTTGAACAATATTTTAAATACTCGATTCTTAAATAAACAAACTTGAACACTAATGCGTTTGACTCATTTATGTTCGTGAACAAGCTCGACATTAAGCTTGATAAAAGCTCGATTCGTGTTTGATTTTGAACTCGTGAATAAGCTTGATAAAAATAATTAATATTTGACTATATAATTAATAAATATAAATAATCATTACCTTTGTTACATAGATAATTGCTTTTATTATAAATGTGTTTGTTCATAGATATGTTCATGAACGTGTTTGTTTGATAGTTAAAAAAAATTCGTTAGATATGTTCGCGACCAAGCTCGATAAACACTAAACGAACGAACATGAACTGAACATGAACCGAACATGAACACTCCTTAATTTAAATGAACCAAACATGAACACAAATGCGAAAGCTCGAACAAACATGAACCAAACATGAACAAGCTGGTATTAAATGAACACAAACATGAATACTCACATACTCGGCTCGGCTCGGTTCGTTTGCAGCCCTACCCATAACCTCCAGAAGAAGGCTAGAAATAGCGTGCTGAAACAGCAGGGGGAAGTCAAGCCGCAAGGACCACCATCTCGAAAAATAGCCACTAGGATAGAATATCCAAACCAAAAGAATGCGTCACTATAACAGTTCCAATAGTTTGTAACCATCGTTCCATTTATAAACTTTCGAAAATATAGCTTTTTTTAGGCAAATCATAGTGTAGGTTGAGGCAGATTGTGCAAATCTCCTCTCATTCCTTTCTCTCCACACAAAATAAATAGTGCAACATATGATGAGATTATAGAACCTTTTCGTTAGTAAAGGGGTATTGGGACAATCATAAAGCTGTAGCAAATTGGGTATGAGCAGAATAGAGGAGCAAGCAGGAATAAAATTGGTGATAATAGAGTGAGTGTAAGAGCAGTCAAAAAAGATATGTGTAGTACTCTCAGGATAACTATGATAGAATGAGCAAGCTAAATCCACCAAAATGTTACACTTATAAAACTCCAAAGATGTTTTGAGCCCACCAATAAGAGTGAGCCAACTGAAAATCGAATACCTCAAAACATGCCTCTTATGCCAATTAAAATTAGCCCAATTGCAAATAGGATAAGTTTTATAATAATCATTCAAGAAGTCTCTAAATTTAGCATTGAAGGAATTACCCCATTGCAAACAGCCTGCATTAGGCTCGTAAATATTGACCATGAAGATAGCATTAGCAACATCAACAGGAAAGAAGTCTGGTAGACACCAGCTTCCCCTAGTAATGAAATCGCTCACAATTGTACAATAAATAGGTACTTGAGAGAAAGGAGCAACACTAGGTAAGTAAATTAACTTATGACCATTGCACCAGTAGTCCCAAAGAAAGAAGGTAGGTGAAGAAAATGAGACTTTTAATACCAAATTGGATTTAGCATTAGAAGCAGTGCTGCAAATGGATTTTCAGAAGATGGCAACCTTAGAGTTAATCGGCTTCCAAGGAGAAATATAATTGGAAAATAGCCAAGTTGCTAATGGGGATTTAAAATTATATATTTTGAAAAGAAGAGAACAATTAAATCCATGTTGAAGGGCTGAAATGGTCGGCAAACCAAGGCCACCCACACATTTAGACTTGTAAACAGTATCCCAGGCAACCAGATGAAGCTCCTTAGTGGCAGATGATTCACCAAAAAAATTAAAAATTGGAAGCAACCCTCCTAAAGTATTTAATGACCATTTTTGGTAAAATAGATCCTCTAATCCAATACGCAATGGAGTTGAGAATGGTGAATTTTAGGAATTGAAGCCTCTCCACAAAGGAAAGAAGATTAGAATTCCAACCCGAGAGTTTCCTGGTTATAGTTTCAAATAGAGGGGAGAAATCAGCAACCTTGAGCCTCCCAAAGGCAATAGGGATCCCAAGGTAAGTAGCTAAATCCTTTGGGCTAGAAAGAGAAAGAGCTCTACAAATAACATATGCATTGCGGATGTACCTGGGTAGTATTAGAGAACTCTTATCAAAGTTAACATGGAGACCATAAGCAGAAGCAAAAATATTTAAAATGTTCCATAAAGTGTTGCAATTGGAGGTCATGGGGTCTCCAAAAATAAGTAAATCATCAGCATATAATAGATGGGTAACATGGAAGTTACCAATGGAAGCCCCAACAAAATTACCATCATCAATAATAGAGGAAAAGGATCCATCACAAAGAAAAAAAGATATGGGCTTAAAGGGCAGCACTGGCGCAGCCCAGCAGAGGAAGAAAAGAACCCCTCAAGAGTACAATTAATCATAATCGAGAAGGTAACATTTATAATACTTGCTTTAGTCCACTGAATGAATTTCTTAGGAAAGCCTTTCTGCTCCATTCTAGCCAACAAGAACTCCCTTGAGACCATATCAAAAGCTTTCTGAATATCAAATTTTGCATAGAATAGCTTGTTATCCCCTTTATTGGAATAAGAAAGGAGCTCTTAAGAAAGAATAATATTGTCCGTGGATATTCTAGATTTTATAAACACAGCTTGAGTATCTTTCACAATAAGGGGCATGATAGGTCTTAATATGGATGCAAGTACTTTAGAGATAATTTTGTAAATCACATTGCAAAGGGATATCGGTCTAAAATCAGCAAAAGAAGAGGCATGCTTTATTTTTGGAATAAGATCCAAAGTAGTGGCTTTGATACCAGGGAGAGATGCCCTTTTTGAAAGAAGGATTTAAAAGCCTTGCAAACAGAAGGGTCAATGATATGCCAACTCTTTTTGTATAAATGATAGTTGAAGCCATCAGGGCCGGAGATGGACGAAGCAGCTCCAGCAAAAACAGTCATTTTGATCTCATCATCTGTGACAGAAGCCGTTAGTGAATCTGAAAGTGAGGGGGGGAAGAAGAGTATCAGGGGGAAAAGCTCCATATTAATAAACTCTGGTGGTGGCTGGTTGTAAAGGGCTTGGAAGTGTTGAAGATATCATTAATAGCTTCAGCTCTCAATGGATTAAAGGAAGCACTCAAGTTAAGAGTGGCATTGCTCAAAGCCATCGTACGGCGAATTTTTGCATAGAGAAATTTAAGACCATCTTTGCCTTGGGAGAGCCACGAGGCTTTGGCACGTTGAATAACCCACGAAGCATAGAGAGGTAAAATCCACTATTAGCTTGTTGATAAGCTTTAAGTACTATTAAGAGATGAATTTAAAGGCTCCACAAAAATCTGATGTAGGCAATTAGATTGCTTAAGATGGAGGTCATCCAAGTGAGCTTTGATAGAATTTTAGTTGGCCCAAGGTTTATCTTTAATAAATCTTCTCAAAGTCTTAAGCTTGGAACAAAAATCTGCCAAGTGGTTTCCAATTGGTCTAACAAGGAAGACAACTGGTAAAATTTTCCAAAATCTATCAAGAGAAGTCCAGTAGTTCTTAAAAAGGAACCTGCGATGGGCAGGAGAAAAGTATGTAGTTTGAAGGATTAAAGGGCAGTGGTCGAAGTAAGAGGGGGCCTGCACTAAGTAGAAGGAGTGTGGGTAATTAGCAGTTCATTTATCATTCACTAGGATTCTATCTACTATTATTTGTATGGGATTATCAAGCCTTTGATTATAACAGGTGTAAGAACTACCCACATAGTGCATCTCTTCAAGTTTAGCATAAAAATTTAAGGAATTTAACTCTTATAATCGGTTATGAGTCAAGGTGTTGACACCTAATTTCTCAATGGCAAACCTACAACAATTAAAGTCGCCCATAAGAATCCAAGGAGAATGTTGATCCGTCACACAGCTCCTAATCAAGTCCCAAAGACAGGTTCTATCAACCCTGTCATTTGAAGCATAAATAACATAGAGAGTAAAAGAAGGGTAATTACCATAAGACACATGGCCCGTTATCATTTGCAGCGGTTGGAGGGAAATTAATTTTTGATGCGTTCCACTTGATCTAAATGCGACCGAAGGAAGAGAGCACAAAATTGTGACATGAATCTTCCAAAGGGAAGATCATATGATTGTCAGAGAAAAAAAGGTTTTGAAGAGAGGATACATGTATCCTATTCTCCAAGATGCATAGCATATCAACCTTAAACGATGTCGTCAAACATTTGCAACAAAGAACCTTTTATGGACTATTAAAGCCTCTAATATTGTAGCAAGCAATGACAGGCAGAGACATGATTATCTATGAGGAGTAAGGGGCTTTCTAGCTTGCTTTCCCTTAGAAGATTTAGCAGATTGTGTTCGACTTGGTGGGGGTAAAGTGACTTCCGCATCCATAACAAATGTAGAGGTATCCTTAACAGAGAGAAGACATGTAGTCGAAGTTCCCTGGTCTTCCTCTAAAAGTTGTAATGTATCAAATTTATTGGGAGAATAAACTTTGGGGGGAGAAGTTAAGCTTGGCAAGGGGTTGGTGCTCGAGGAGGAAACCTCATCAGTGGGGGAGTTTAAGTTTGGGATGTTGGAAGCAGGCGGGTCCACAGAGGTAGGAGGGGCTGGGGCGGGGATGGTCAAGCCATATGGAGCATTGTTTTGGGAGTGAATAATGGTGGAGGGGAGTTGTTGTGGAGGAGGGACATTTAATGGTTGAGGTAGGGCCGAGGTAAATTTCGAGGCTACATCAGGGGTTGTGGTGGGAATAGGATGCAAGGCAGCGGGATTGTTGGGAAGAGGAATAGAAGGGGTAATAGGGGGATTGTGAGAATGAGGCCTTCTACTCCTACTCTGCCCACAAGAAGAGGAACACCAAAAATTAGTATTCTCAGACGTGACCGGGATAGAAGCATACTCAAGTTTAGAAGGGCAAGAAGAAGAGAAGTGTGCCAAGGATTTACAGTGCTCACAAGGAGATGGCTTCCACTCGTATTGAATTTTTAGGCTAAAGACTTCATCCTCCAGAGAAATAGGGACTTCATCCAGGAAGACAACGTTAGCAGAGACTTGAACACAAACACGAGAAAAGGTGAGACGAGTTATGTGGGCAGTAAGGGCATCCACAGCAAGTGGTATACCTATCTTGCTAGCAATCGTAGAAATCCCCTCCGAATTCCAGCACACCAACGATAAGTCATGAATTTTTACCCAAATCGAAAAGGAGTTGAGATTTTCACCCTTGGGACGCAACTTGGGGGACCATTTTTGGAGAAGAAATGGCTTACCGAAAAAGAACCACTTTACTTTTGACCAAGCTTTCTCATAGTCCTCCATAGTACAGAAACGAAGCAAGAAAAATCCTTCGCTTAGAGATAAGAGCTGAAACAAACCTTTTAAAGACCAAGCTTTCCGAATGGCTCCCAAAAGAGCTTCATAATATGGGCGTCGACCGATAGAATAACCCACTAAACACAAGTTCCAGTGTTAAGCGCCTCTTACCAATCTTTCTCTCACAAATGGAATGATCTATGGTTCATAGAAAGACAACTGAAGGTCTTTGGAAATGGGGTCAAATTCAACAACTTTGTTTTTCCAGTTACGCTCTGGAGGAGAGGTGCCCCAACTGAAGAAGGAAGTGGACGGAAGTCCATGGAGGAGAAATGCTCCATGGAAAAGGAAGGGGGAGGCAGGTCCTTCGGCAGAAGACGGAGAGAGTAGCAGGAAATTAACCTGGAAAGGAAGCAAGGCGGCGGGGAAAAAAACCCTAGCAAAGTCTCCCTCAGCTAGAAAGCCCAAGATTTTCAAACAGCTGGGCCAGGAGTAGGTACAGACCTATAAATATTAAATGCATAAATGAAAATATGAAATAATGAATAATAAATAGCTTTCAGTATGTCTTCAGTCCACGAGCTCAATGATCTTCCGACTCCCGAGGGCTGGGAATACATACATACTTTTTTTTTTTTTTTTTTTTTTTTTGCAAATGGGTCAGTCGGAGTCTATTTCGGATTAGTGGGTTGACCCGGACCCAAAATTTTTGAGTATCAGCCGGGTTTTCGGGTCATGTCAAATATTGACACCCCTACCATTAACCACGTTAATTAACTCAATTAATAGGGTAAACCTAGGCCAACTCTTTATTTTGCAAATGAACTGTTATTGTCTGACTCATGTGGCTTCAAACTATTGTACTTTGGTTTAGTAGATATCAACTCTTTTCTCACGTTGAAGTTCTTCAATCCCTTTATGAGTTTTTGATCTACCACTTCAGCCTCGCCGCCATTCAGATTATTATTGTCTCTCGTGACAAATTCATTTATATGAAGAGGGGTGCCACCAGTGCGATTCGATACTTCATTAACAAAGTTATTCAAACCTAGCTCTGCCAGCTTGTCGTAGGAATCTGTATTCACTTGAGCCAAGGTGAAAGTGAGGAAAAGGGAAAGAGCCAAGGTGGTGCAGATGGAAATTGTTCTCATAACGATTGAATGTTGTGAAATTAATGGCTAACAAAATCAGGTTTCATATTAGCGAAGCTATTTATGTGTTAAAAGATGGGAGATAGTTATTTTAGTTTTGGGTTTTGATGGTGGGAAACAATGATAAAATTTTAGTTTGCTTGTCTGTTTGTTTGCTTTCTTATTGTTGGAAAAATATGCATCACAATATCCGGTCGCAAAAACGTGTCAGGAGTTTAAAAGCCTTGCTGTTTAAGACATAAATCTAAATACTTTAAAGTTATTTTTCATGCGTTTTGCATCAGAATATCTGAAGTTCTCTCTCTCTCTCTCTCTCTCTCTCTCTCTCTCTCTCTCTCTCTCGAGTGTTATGGCTTCATGGTGGGGAGTAACTTCTATGAAATTATGACGCAATGACTCCTTAATTTGGGCTACTGACCAGGGTAGGAAGTTTGAGGTTGTTGGATATGAAAGATAGGTTCAAATTCTTTGATAGCTAATTAAATAAAAAATATTTTTTTTTCTTAAAAACTGAATATTAATGTAATAATTAATATCTTTGGATGTTAGAAGAATTTGATTGTGTTATATACTTTATTATTATGTTATGAGCTAATTTTTTTATTATAAATTGTGCATTAAAATAATCCTGATATTCAATTTGCTTGCACGAACTCTTTTGTTTATGGATTGGATGTCTCATATTTTTAAATGAATATTTTTTTTGGGACATTTAGGCCATTTAAGGCAAACTCACGCACACAACGCATACACATAGACTCGAACCTTGGACCTCTTAGTTGGAAGCCTAAGCTCTCAACCAATAGGCCAAGGAGAGTTGTGTAAATGAATATTTTAGATATACTCGTTAAATAGGGGGATCCATCCCATCAAGATACAACAAAGACAAGCTCGCATAAGAATAGCTTGAACAAAGAAGCTGTAACACCTACAGATCAAATTCATTGAATTTTTGTATTTGAATCCTTATGTATATATCTAGAAATGTTTTGTATGCATGTAAAAATCTGCATGTATTTTGATGTGAATCCTAGGGATCAGTTTGCATGTTTTGAAAACCTAAAAGTTTCCTCTAGGGCTATGAGGCTTGCATGATTGGGCGTCGCAAATTTAGTATTAAAAAAAACATTTTCCACTAAACCAACTCATTTCATCCAATTGACTAATTGAGGCAGCTTGCTAGTGAAAGAGGAGGATTTCTAGAGAGAGGGAGCCAATTTTAGGAGACTGGTCTATTTTTTAGCTGAAGGCCTAGTTCCTAAAATCGTTTGGTTCGAGAAAGGTTGTATTTTGTTTATCTCAATTTTTAAGAATAAAAAAATTTCTAAATGAGGATAACTTTATACATATAAAATTTTCACCGAAGTTTATTTCTATACTAAGGCACATAAAATTCTATTATGATGGTATATACATTCTGTTTAATTCTAGTGGTATATGCATATTCTATTCTGATGGGGAGCATTGAGAGTCATAAGAATTTAATATGTCAGTACGAGATTTATTTAAGGGCCATAACTAATTAAATTCTATTTGAGAGGTATAAATGTGAAAAAATTCTATTATTTTCTTTTCAGATATATAAAATATTTATTTATTTATTTTTCAAATATTATTATTTACATTTTAACAATTGCAAGCAATTTTCTAATATCTAGTTCAATACAATAATTGTATTTATTAACTATTTTTAAATTCAATAAGATAATTTAAATTTTTAAATCAATAAGTGTGACTGCTAAGCTATATTAACTCACATTTATCTTTATTTTATTTCAAGGACTTAGAAAGGGAAAGAGCCCGATTAATAGCTGATCTATCTGAGTTAATATATATTTATTTTTTTCTAATTTTTATACAATTATGATTAATTATTTAAATTGCTTTGTTCTATAGTTCAATCAATATATATATATATATATTTGTGAGAAATGAAAAAAAAAATTATTGATGATTTATTTGAAGCTCTATGATCTATTGTTCATTTAAGTTTAAATGAAAAATATAAAATTTGAAAAGTTTGTCAAAACTCTGATCTTGAGTTGGCCTATTGCAAGCTAACACTATAGGATATGTCCTATCTATGAGTCTTATCGGATTGGACTGTGATATCCCATTTTTTGTATCAGAGCAATAATTTTGAAGAAACTTAACATAAAATAGAGCTATAAGAAATGTTTGCACATTCAAAAAAAAAAAACAATTTATTTTATTTTTAAAAATAAAATATAAAAATATTTCATCTACCTAATTCTTTATAATCAACAGTCAATTAGCAAATATTAAGTAATGCAGGAATTTTGGCTTTGACAAATAGACAAAAGGCAGACTACTTGGAAGCTTGAGAAATGTTCAGGTTCCTTAAATAGGCCAAATATCCTATTTTAATTTTCCACTCAACTGAATTTCTGAATTGTTACCATGATTATTAGCACCAAACCTGGATGAGTAGGAGCCACGACAAAAATCTCTCCCAAATGCACGAATATTAAAGCTACCTGCATCAATCCTTGTTCAACCTTAACATTAGCAGGATCTTTATGTACTAGTTAATGCCCTCGAGCACAAATCAGAAATAATGTATACAACCATTTGGTACAGAAGTTGAGTACTTGGTGCAATCAATGGTCTACGACTAAAAACAACAGTGATTAAGCACAAATAAAAGATTCATTATTATGTGCGGACGTCGAACGCCGTCCGGATACTAATTAGAATGCGTCATTTCACCCCTTCGCTAAAAATTGCTCGGTATGACTGACGTGATGCATTCTGATTGGTTTCTGAACGGCATTCTGCATCCGGCCTCTGCACAGAATAATTTCTCCAAATACAGGGGTCAAAATAAATCATTCATCGCGAAGGCATGCATGGTGAAGACAGTGGAAGTGGTGCATGGCCATCTCAATCGAAGGTGCATACCTCCCACTACAATAAGCAGGTGATTCCAAGCCTTTCTGTACTCCTTCACACAGTGCAATGTCTTCCATCTGCATGCAACGTACATAAAATGGGATAAAATCCTGCATTGTTTGAATTGCTGATAAGTAGAATGAATATGGTAGGAAGTAGGAACCTGAACAGTTTCACTCTCCTTTAAGCTTCTCTCAATGAACTCTTCATCACTCTGCAGAGTGGGAGTGTGTTGAACATTAATACCATAGATTTGTGCAAAATATATTAAAGGAATGAAAAGTAAAACTCAGATTTTTAATGGAGGAGAAACGGGAATTACCAACATGGAAGAATCAAGGAAATAGTCAAAAATCACTTGACATTTATTTGGTCCCAGCGGGAGAGCTAAATTTGTGTCCATCCATGGACCATACCTGGGAAATAGTCGAATATGAACTTTTATGGTTGCAATGAGGAATAAGCATTTCAATAAGGGCTTACCTATTGATCATAAAGTTTGGGTATACAAACGCATATAATGCTTTTGACCCAAGTCTGTCAAGGTCATTGCTTTCGGCTGGAGCACTTTCACAACTTTGGATGCTAACCTTCTCATAAATCTAATCAAATAATTGCCAAAAAAAGGGTTCAATACCAATAAAATCATCAAAATGATGTCTGGGTCATCAAAATAGCACAAAAGAATGAAGGGAGAAATAGCTCTGCTGGTGTGCTAAAACAATCTTTTTGGGAGCGTCGATCTGAAGTTCCATCCTCTCAAAGGATAAGAGAGCCCAAACGTCTATCTGCTCGAGTCCACCGAATTCTGAAGACAGTTAAGGAGAAAAGGCTAATGGAAAAGAAGTTTCAAAGACCACTGGTTATCGAGGCCAAAAGAACCCCTCCGAGAGAAAGGCTATCATCTGTTGTGATAGTAGAAAGGAGAGGTGAAAGACGACAAGCTCCACGGGAAAAGAATGAAGGGATACATAACAGCGGAGTGGGGAATCCATAAATTATTAAAGAAGTTCAAAAAGTATATAAAATAATGTAACCTCTTCTCAACATACTAAAACTCCAAATAAAGGGTGTCTGTTTAGATGGAAACTTTACAGGTGCAAATAGACCAATGAACGAAAAACCTACTAAATGTTCAAAAGAATAATAGGATGAATTTAAGCAAAACAATAGGGACAAATAGCTGGGGGAACTCATGGAGATGGTTGATAATTTAGCCTAACAAAACCATTTAATAGATAATTTGTCAATGTGGGTTGGCATGGAAGAATAGAACATTTATCAAAGTCCCTTTTTGATATCTTCAACAGAAGGAAGCACCATGTAGAGATGTCATGACATCGTAAATATTAATTTAAAGACAAATAGATTGGCCAATGACCATACACGAGTAGTGTAGGAGTCGAGCTTAAGGCCAGATGCAAGACCTCCATGTGCATATACGACATGATAGCCCCCATCCAAGTAATTGTCACAGAAGACCTGGACTCATAGAAAAAGAAAAATGGTCATCCCAGAAATGCATTTAAAACAAGAGGTAAAACATAACTACATAAGAGCAGTGAATCAGTAATAAAACTTTGTTAACTGTTTAAGAAATTCAACATAACAAAAAAAGCAAACCTTCCAGTTGCATTCAATAGTGTATTTCCTTCTACAAACATATTCAAGGGACGTGTCAATCCCATTGGCACTCAAAATCTGTGAAGCGCTTCCAAGCCAATCATTTCCCACTACCTCACTTGAAACTTTTTGTTTTATGGGCATATTTTTATCCACATTGATCAGCACAAATGGTCCCCAAGAAGCCACATTTAGTGGCAATAGGCCAAAATCCTTTTATTTGTTATGAGAGAAAAATCAATATTGCTCCATAAAATTTTCTTAAAAAGTAATATGAGAAATAGAAATCGAAGATTACATTTTTATTGAAGTTCTTGATTCCCGTAATACGAGTAGCCCTCAAGAGCTGTCCATCTAACCCGTAGGTCCATCCCTATAAAATATAAAATGAGGCATTTTGACAGGATAGCTTTATTAGAATGTAATACATGAGGTAAGCAATAAAAAATAACAGAGTCCATCTAGAATGATATCCTCTTAAGGAAACCACAAAGAAAACCATATAAAACAAGGAAAAAACATCATAAAAGCGTCACAATTCTCTAGAGTCCATCTAGAATGATATCCCGCCAATCATTTTTTTAAAGTGACTCACATGATAAGGGCACTCAAAGCAGGACCTTTGCCCACTCCCAGATGCAAGGATTGATGCATGGTGGCGACAGACATTGTGAAAAGCATGAAGTTCTCCACTTGCATCCCGACAAACCACAAATTCCACATTCCCCAATCTGTTGGTTCAGCTGAACAAATACATAAGAATTGAAAATTATTGTGACGGATGCTATCTTAAATGATGCAAACTATGTTAAAGATTCATATAACGCTCCTTGAGTACCATAAATTAGTATACATTATGGAGTCAGCTGGCTTATGGAGAAAAATTTGGAAGCATAGTTTTGGTTTATACAATTGGTAGATGATGAAAAAGAGAGAGTTATTAAAAAAAAAAAAACTTGAATTGCAGACATAATCTATAAATTTTTCATTTTCTTTACAGGATATCACGCTCAATTAACACTGCTTAATTCTGGTTAAATCACTAGCCTAATTATAATATTCTAGTAACTAACACGCCCCCCCCCCCCCCCCCCCCCCCCCCCCCCTCTCTCTCTCTCTTTGACAGACATATCTTCTTTTGCATCTTTTGATCATCTTTTTCGATAATTCATATATGGAAAAAATATTCTACCCTTTTTTTTGTCGTTTTTAATTTGGATTATTAATAAAGGATAGTTTTGCAAAAGAAATTTTGATGAACAACTTCACCTAAACAAAATAAACAATCAACAGGATCTTCTAAGTTACTCCAAACAAAAAAAAATTGAGATTAGCATGGCTTATCTTCCAATCGACAAAGAATTCTGTACTCAATTATAGACTTCCATCCCACTTGAAGTGTGTATTGACAAATATTGAGAACACAGATAATGGAACAACAGTTTTTTTTTTTTTTAGTTTTGGTTTCACATAATAATTATTTTTCATCCTTAACTCAATGTCATGGCTGAACCACTCAAAGCATCATCATGTTTGTTAACGTTAAAAAATACATCTCCAAGGATATAACATAAAAATAACAAAGTCAATAAACAAGGGGTGATTTATCCACAAATTCAGTTATATTATTGAAATATTTTGTGATTCTTTTTTCTTCCTAAGAGACATACTACGGGATTCAAGACACATCCATGTGAATATGAATAGTTTCAAAAAAGTTAAACATCAAAAATGAGAACAGCAGTAACCTAATTTGCACAGATAGTGAAAAGAGTACCTTCCAGTGAAAAAGTCATTAGGACTCTTGACCTGTTCAATGTAACCTGTAAACCAATGGATTCAACAGAGCATCAATACTATCATAAAAATTATATTAAAAAAAATAAAACAAGGAATTATTGTAATATTAAAGATCCCTCAAACCGGTTGAAGAAATTCTGCTGAAGAGGATCAAATTTTTCAAGTGCAATTTGATTTCTTAAGCAGCAATTCATTTATATGCAAATAAGGCTTAAGGGGCAGTTAGGAAGTACAATTTAACCAGGATTTAGATGGTAATTAAGACAAATCCCGCTAACCAATTTCAGAAAGGTGTGCAAATCCGTTTGCTTCTTAAATTCAAATAAACAGGATTTAGGGTGATTTACCAAATTGCTGGGGAGACAGATTTATGGGAGATTTACTAAATTCCGATATGATCATACTATCTGTAAATTGAGTTTAAATTTTAGTTTGAGAAATGATTTTCGTCTAAATAAATAAAAATGATTTTATTACTTTTTCTGAAACTTAAGTGACACTCAGAAAGGCTGAATGTGATAAAATCAACAAATAGAAAAAATGAAACAGCTTATAAGTAATATGTCAAATACTATAAGAACGGTCCACAACTCAAGCCATTAAACATTCAAAACAAGGATGAGCGATGTACATAGAATATGAATGATTGTTAGTCCCCAAATATCAATTTGTTTGAGTTTATTTGTTTATCTGTCCTTGAAACCTTGCTTTTTGAATAGTGATAAACATTGTTCTTTTTTATTACCTTCATACATTTTATTTCATAATATATCTATTGTACCGGAGCTATATTGCATGTTGTTCTTTTCAAACTTATTAACTAGGTAGACGGTGTATGTTTTGCTATAATGTGTTCAACTTTTTCTCGCTTATTAATTGGATAGAAATATATATGCTTTTGCTATAACGTGATCAACATTTCATGCTTAATATCATAATAGATATTTATATGCTTTGCTGTATTATTATCTTGTGTGCCATTTCACGCATTGATTTTTCTTACGAGGGTATAATTTAAATGGTAAGATGATTAGAGATATGAAAAAATCACTTGGGGGGAGATCACTACAGCATGGCTGTTGTCGTGATTCTAGTGTGCAACCATTGGCTTCAAGCGAACAAAAAGGACCCAATAGAAGCCCCAAGTTGCCAAACTAGCATAATACACTTTCACTGAGTTTCTATAAGAATGATATCTATATAAGAACATACCTAGTTACCTACTAGTATTCAAGAACCGAACGGATAATTGGTCCATTCAAAATTGAAAGGAACTTTATCTTTGGGCCAGTATGAATTGGAGTGAACCACCGGTCCAACTAGGTAACCGACAAACCAGTCATAATTTTTAAAAATAGGCTGAATTAATTGTTGAATAAATAGTTAAAATTTTTAATTTAATAAGTTTATATAAAATATTAAACTTAACAACTTAATTTAAATTTTATATATAATTATCCATTTGACTTTATTATTTATTTAACTATACACTACAAAGATTATTTATTTATCTATATGTTAATGATAAATAATCTAAAATGTATAATATATAGATCTAACTTTATAATGTGAATTTGGTATAAAATTTATCACATCCCAGAATATAATTTGGAAGAATTAGTTATTTTATCTTTTTAATTGTAATAATCATAGCTATCTAATTTTTTTCAATAATATAAATATCAGTGGAAACGAATCTATAGATTAAAACATCAATGTACATTTGTAATCACTATAAAAAAATTATAAATAATACTCATGAGTCATATAAATACAATAATTCATCTTCTCACTCCTGAGTACAAAAGAATAAAAAAAAAACAAAGAAAAAAAAAATAACAGTAAAACTTGAAGAATCTTGTAACTGATCAGTTTCACACTCTGATTCTCTTCCCTGATTTGAAATCATTTAAATCACATATAATAAGCTATAAAGTCCAGCAGGCCACTACCATCCTATAACTGAACTCAAAGCATGGAAAGGAAAAATATTATTTAGTTCATAACAATAGCAGTCAATATGATCATGAATCTGTATAAAAATAATAAAAAATATGTTGTAGCAATAAAATTTGTAAAATAGTAAACCAATATGGTACAGAGGCCAGTAAAACAATTTAGTATGAAAATAGTAAAATCTGTAAACCATTAAACCCAATACGGATGTCATTAATACATCATAACAGTGTTATCCAATCAATAAAGTAATCATATAAATCAGTAAAATCAAAAAATTTATGAAAACTATTGGAATCCATAACAACTCAGTACTATCAAATCAGTATACACATAATATTCAGTCATTATATATCATTATCAAATCAGTATCTTATATCATATGCAATGTTTAAAATTGCGTATTCGGGTATTGAGACGTTTTTCATTTGTGAGGCGAGGCGTAAGCCTCAAATTTAAAGATTGCGTAAATATAAAATGATAAATTTTATATATACTAATGAGTGAATAATATAAAACATAAAAAAGCATAAGATATGAAGTGAAATCAAAATATCTCAATAATAAGACAACATGAAATATAGCTCAACTAAAAATTCTATCTTTCCCAAATCTCAATATTATTTTCATTAACATATAATTCTATTTTCCAAAAATAAATAGCAATGACATATCACATAAGAACACATAAGAACTCATAAGTCATCAACATTGTCATCACTAAGAGGTTCTTCATTTGAATCATCATTATGATGAACTGCTCTCTCTCCTTCCTCCTCTCCTATAGAGTCCAATGTCGGGCATTTACTTCAAGATTTATGTAAGAGTGAGGCGAGGCGGGCCTCAACCAAGTTAAGGCGCAAGCCTCATAAAAAAAAACTCGAGGCGTAAGCATTGAGGCATTTTTTACTGGAATTGCGCAAAGGCAAGCCTCATATTGCGCAATTTTAAACCAGTAACAGTAAATTATTAAACAATGAATTAATAGCAGTAACAACGATAATGAATCAATAGAAGTATCAATATTAGTAAAATATGTTGTAGTAATAGTAAAACAATATGATAACAGTAAATAAGTACAGTGACAATATATCAAAATAATGAATGCATCCCAATAATCGAACTAAACAAGGAGTTCAGGTTTATGCAATATTTTTCTAGTAATTAGTAAATTGGTAAATCAGTAATCGTTGGCTCAATAAACAGAGTCGTCACTCTTTCCCCGTTAGTACAGTAATCATCTCATAATAACTCTCAATTAGTAAATCACATGAATCAATAGAGGATAACATTAAACCACATTATTTAAAAGAAAGCTCATCGACCCAATATCCTATATAAGTCAGTCAGCTCCAGCCAACATCAGTGAGTAACCAGCCTTAACTTATTTTCACACACATTATTATTCAATATTATATAAGCAAAAGCGATCAGCTAGCATCTAATCACATACTAGCATTCATTCACTATGCTAGTAATAATAGTAGAATCAAATTAAAATGTCAAAATTACAATTATTATTACATAGTACAACATGCAATAACAACACTTTTAATTGGTAAAATTATGAAATCAATCAGTCAAAATATCCAGAATAATCAGTACTATAATACACCAAAAGTTGTACGGTGGAAGATAATGATATGCAGAGAAAATGCCATACAAATCCTTTTGGGAGGAATCAAACAGTATAACTTAAATTTTTTTAAAAACGGAATAGAATAAGAGTCACCATGGTGATCTAAAGAATTATCGTAAAAGCATCGAAGCAAACTGGCGATAAAAAACCCATCTTTCTATTTCCTCTCTCCTCCTTCCTTCCCCTTCTCTTCTTTCCTTCCTTGGCAAGTCATGGCAAGTCACGACAATAGGTGAGGGAGAGAATATGTGGAAAGAAAAATAAACATAAAACCTGATTTCAGTGCTCAGCGTAGCATCGCCATATACCAACGTCGTCGTGCTACATGCTGAATCCAAAATTACCGTAGAATAGTCTTTAACACCCAGACGGTGATTTTTAGTGTCATTGCGCTCTCAAGCACAGCGCTGCAGCGCCCTCAAGCACAGCGCCGTAGCGACCCAATTCAAATATAAATTTATTTTTTTAAATATTTTTCAATTTTTTCAAGTTATTATAGAATCCATAGGTATAAATTAATCTAAATATATAATATAAATTACTAACAATTTATATTAAATTTATAAGTTCATATGTGAATTAAATTTATATTAAATATGAATCATATATATAATTGAAAGTATTAAAATTTAAAATTACAAAAGATATTATTTTTATATAAATTCTATTTATTTTTGTCATAAATTTATCTTAATGCATAATTATTACATCATTATTATGCCATTTAGATATTATTTAAACAATCTTAATATTTATTATGTCATCTGGTCAACCCCAAGTTCAATTTAATATAACCATTAAATTTTAAACCTCTCATTCTTTTAGGTCAATGTCTAATCTAATTTTCATAACCTTGGCGAGTGATGAAAAATGGGAGGAGATATTATAGGTATATTACACCAACAACAATAACAACAACGACAATAACAATATAAAACCTTTATTCCAGTATGTGGAGTCGACTACGTGAACCTTTTTTCTCCATTGTGTCATATTAAGAGTCAAAATTTTATTTAAATCTAATAAAAAATAACATTTCTAATACTTTCTAATAAAGTCTTTTTAGGAATATCTCTACTTTTCTTAATATAGCCAGATCTAATACATCTACTCTCCTAACCAAGTTCAACATTCTATGTAACCAAATCATCAAAAACGACTCTCTCAACCCTTATCTGCCACCAGAGTTACTTCAACTTTTTCATAAATATACTCAAAATGAAATATATGCTTTGGACATTAAAATTAAATGTAAAATTTATTTTATTTTATTTTATTGCACATAATTCTTGTAGCTGATTTGAATTTTGATAATGAAATTCTTTTAAGGTTCGGAGTATATAATAATTTGAAAAAAGGGAGGTTGAACCAAACAGGTTCAACCAATTCGGTTAAAGTTGTCTCGTGTCTTATTAAGCCAATATGGTGCCTTCAAGTTTTGAATCGGTACTTAGGACATCATAGGTGTGTGAGAGAGAGACTGAGATAAAAATAAGAGAGAGGAGAGGTCACGATCCAGCAGGTCAACAGGAAATTGACGAGAAGTTTGACGTAGACCTGCAATGCAATGCAACGTGTGATCGTGCTCGGAGATTTCACAACTCAGTAGCTTTGTTAATTGGTGGCTTCGAACACCTAACTAGCCAATAGGGAAGAGGTCTAGGAAAGGAAAAAGACGAAGAAGCACTAATGTTTCATCATTCTCACTCTTCTTCCTCATCCAATTTTATTTAGGTAAACTATAATAGCTCAAACTCTCAATCATTGAGATATTATCCATTTTGTTTTGACCTAATAGCCTCATGAAACTCTTTAATGTAACTTCCTAGGAGATCACCCATCCTAGGTGAGCACCTGTACAAACATGTTTGACTTTGAAGTTTCTAATAAAATTCTAAATGTTACGTTAAAAGTTGTTTCAATGTTTAAGAGTTTAATTTTATTTTCATATTTAAAGGATTTCACACGCAAAGACTATTATCAATTCTTATAGTATTTGATCTTCAAGCAATTTGTTAACGACTTTTTGGATTTGTTTCAGCTTTTCTGCACATTCTATCATCGATTCTATGCATTTAGATACTAAAACTTAGGATAGACGGCCAAACAATGTGCTAGAATTTTGCCAGATTTAACAAATCTCTTACCAAAACTTTTCAAGGCTTAACACGAAGATTTATTTCAGCTTTACAGAATTTATTATTTTTTTGTCTTTATTATTTTTTTGTCAAACAGCACCTAAATAATTTTAGCGACATGCTCGTGTTTAGCCCACAAACCTTGTTTCTTTAGAGAAAAAAGCAATAGATTACGAAGATACACATGTTTAGCTAACCTACGACTTGCCATCCTCGAAAGAAGACGCGCTCAAACTCGAGGGCGAAGAATGAGGGATCAGTATACCAGGAGCTGGGAGGCGTTAGGGCTTCTGGAAGAGGTATCGTCGGATCAAAATCCTCCAACATTCGGCGGACATCGCCGGCGTCAGAAGCTCTGTCTTTGGCAAACGGTAGCGTCGAATAAGAGACGCATACGGGCGAGAGTTGAAGACGCCGGCTAGGGGAAGGGGAATATAAGCGCAAGTTGAGAGTTTTGGGAATTGGCTCAGGAGAAAGAAGAAAGAGGGCCACGCCAACAGACATTGTAGCAAGATCACAGTCATTTGGATTCAAATTATGTCAATTTATTAGGGTTTTTTTTTTTTCTACTGTGGTAATTGTGCGGTGATCCCACGCAGGAAGAAGACAATAATATGTTTTGTTTGGGAGAAATTATGATGCGCCGAGTCTGGACAAAAAAAAAAATCGTCAGGACATATAAATATACCTATTGTATATATAAATTTATATAAATACTAAAATGATAAAAAAAATCAACAAATCAAAAAACTAACATCTTCTATCAACATAACATTGGCAAATGACATCAACCAAAACAATTCCATAACCTATTTACAAAAAGATCAAATTGCTTAACCTCTCACAAGAAGCTCTCACAAGAAGCTCACAAGAAGTTTTTAACTTATTGTAGTAAAAATACAATACTAATTTAAGTTTTATTTGGGATAGCTTTCACATTACTTTTTAAAACAGTTTTTTAGTAGAAAAAAAAAAATTTATACTAAAAAACTGCTTTAGAAAGTAGTAAGAAAGCTGCCCAAGCAAAACCTGAGATAAGAAAACAAACTTTTTGGCTCTCCAATGGCTTGAGTGAAAGCATCCCATGAAAGTTCTATTAGCAATAGCATGAGTAAGCCAAATGGTTCTTCTTGGACACAAAGGAGGAGAGAAAGTCGGGTGAAGGAGATGAAGGCACAAGTATTTGAGTCCTGCCGGAAGCTATTCTTCTTCCAGCGACATGTCCATAAAACAGGCCGGTGAAGGCTGGAACAAATGCATCACTTTGTGAACAGATGTAGAAATCGATTGCACGCTGTAGGTCAGAGCTTCCTGCCTTCAGAAATGCACCTTTCTTGTCGGCAGGGATCAAATCATCCTTCAAGAAAGAGTACAAACATTATGAGCAAGCTGAATTCGCAAAAAGAAAATGCACTAAGAAGCAGCTAAAATGCTTAAGACGAGCATATTTTTACTCCATTGCTTGAAAGTGACCATCACACTTCCAAAGGATTTTTTAAATAAATCTTGGATTTGAGGATTGGCATTTACGTGTGCAATTTGTATTTTCTCAGCTTAAATTTCTGTCAAATTAAGATTTTATTTGGGACAACTTTCTAAAGCAATTATTTAGTACAAAAATTTCTTGAACTCGAAATCTTTTTACTTAAAAAGCTATTTTAAAAGCAATAAGGATGCTGTTTCGAACGAAGCCTAAGTTATATTTTTCATCCTGCTCTTTTAGATGACTGTCATATCGTGTCAAACACCAGATCTTTGAACAAATAAAAGTTCATTTTGCTTATGTTAAATTAACTGAATCTACTTTTTTTTTTTTTTTTGGTTATTATGAGGAAATAACATGTGGCCAGGCAGCCATTACTAATTAGAATAAAATAAAATGTAGGTTAAGGCAACAATTATTGACCAAAATTAATATTTTATGATAAGATTCCATTAATGTGACTAAGTAATAGAATAAATTTGAGGAACTGAATTCAAGATACGCAGTTAAAGAAGCAATTTGGTGCTCAAAATTAAATCTATAAATGGCCTTTTTTTTTTTTTAATGGCCTTAATGCGACTAAGTATTCATTTATTAGTCTAACTTCATTTTCTTAGTCTTTATGATCTATATCAATAGGATTCTAAATATCATATTAGAGCTAAGGCAAGCTCAGATTGGCCACAACAATGTGAGTAATTTTTACGGCTCAATGATCATGCATTGCAAATTCAATAAGGCTTCGTTTGGGATGACATTTTTGTTGCTTCTTAAAGCAGCTATTTAGTATAAAAATTTTGATTTTTAAACTAAAGACCTGCTTTAAGAAGCAACAAAAAAGCCATCCCAAATGAAGCCTAAGAGGTTTACCACTACTATTGAACTAACGATTGATGTGTTCAAACACACCAAATTTCATTATACTTCTTCTGCACTTAAAGCTTTTGACACTATTTAAGAACCAAAAGGTCGGTTCTCGATTTTTAAGATTACTTTATTTCTAAAATAAAAATTATATGTGATGCTTCGGGGGTTGGCATTGATAGTTTCCTAAGCCAAAAACGGCCCATCTAATAAGGACGGATTACAAATACTCAGCAAATACTCATTAAATATGCAACAATTTGAACGGTTCTTACCGTCCGGACTCCCCATAAAATAATTTCTCTCTAATAAGCATATTTCAGATGAACACTACCCATTTAAAAGGAAAATTTCATGACAAATTATTGTGAATTTTATGCTTTAATTCAGCCACTAGAAAGACTACTTATTTTCATAGGAGATTTAATTATATTATGATCGCAAGTCCTCAAAGTGCTTGCAATCACAACAAAAACTAAATTCTATGCGTGTGTTGTACATCTTCAAAGTTCATTTTTGTGGTTTGACATTGAGCGTGTGTTGGTAACAAGGCAATTGATACCCTGAGTCGCGTGTATTAGCTGTTGAATGTTGTTCCTATTAAGGCACCTGGATTTTATAGACTAAATAATGAGAATCTTGCTTATCCAAATTTTCATTCTATATTTCGTTATGCCAAGGACAATATATTAAGCATTGTATCTGAATTTTAAGTCACTGATGAATGTCCTTAAGGGTTCATTGTTATATATTATATGCACTTCACTTCATGACTAACATAATGAAATTAGATGGTGGACTAGCCAGCTGGACGCCTTGGATGTAATAAGACTATATGATGTTAGTACTCATCATGTTTCTATTGGCATTCAATCAGAAATCATGTCAACCACATTATTCTTTATGTATCAATTTTGTGAGCTTACCAAAAAGTTTGTATGATCATCTAGACTTATGATACGTCACCAAAAGTCATCTTAATTGAGTGTGAATCTCAAGGCATATTTGAATTGAAAACTTTCAAAATTGAATTCGAGATCATTTGAACTTCGATTTCATCAACCTTGTAGTCAAACTGACCATCACAACGAGACAAACCAACCGACATCAAAATCAGTCTAATCTGATCACAAATGAGCACAAATCAAAAGGTCTGAAATATAATTGAAACTTACAAAATATTGATTGGATGACCAAATGATCTTTAAATTTTGCATGATTATAGTCGAATAGAGCGACTCGATGAGACGAATCTAACAAGCCCAAGATCGTTTAATTCTGACATCATTAAAGCACTTAAATGTTGAACGAGTGCTTTCAAATCAAGGGAGTCAATATGGGTCGTTCGATGGTCTAGATTTGATCCTGGTTTTCTCAATATTTACGGGGTATATCACTCATAAAAATTTATAAATAGACCTCCACACTTCACATGAAAGGGAAGCTTGGAGCCTTAGCTAGAGAGGGAAGAGAGCCCTGTGAGTTGAAAAATTTTTAAGCTCCACCCAAGCACCATCACAGGCGAACCCTCGCCTCCCGGCCACCGCCACCAGGCCTCCGCCTAGCCGCCATCACAAGACCTCTGTCGACCGATCATCGTTGTTGTGCTTCCACCAAGTAGCCATGCCAGACCTTTGCCTTGGCCGCCACCACAGAACTTTTGCATGTCGACTATTGTTGTTGGACTTTCACTAGCTAACAGCCACCTGACCACTGACGTCAAACCTTTTTGCAGCAAACCACTGCCCGAAAACCCCCATCACCAAGCTACTACAATCCTACGACCCCCATCACTTATCGATTATTATCTTTCCAGCCTCAGTCGCTTGTCGACTGTAGTCTTTGGACAATCATCACCCAACTACATATCCATCTAGCACCATCGTCTGACTATAGTCCCTCCAACCATCGTCGCCCGACTACGGCCCTCACAAACTCAATAGCCCAACTACGGTCTCTCCAACCACCGTTTCCCGACTATGGTTCCTCCGACCAACGTCACATGACTACCACCCCACCGACCTCCGCCGCCCAACTACCATATCACTGACCTCCATCGCCCAACTATAGTCCACCAACCTCTGTCACCCGACAATGGTCCCTCCAACCACTATTGTCATACTACGGTCCCTCTGACTACCGTCAATGACTATAGCCCCTTTGACCTCAGTCGTTTTTTCAAAAAAATGATTAGATTGCATGAATTACCTAATTCTATGGTTTCTAATCATAATATACATTTTGTTGGCACTTTAGAGAACTTAATTGAAAATGTTTGGTACGAATTGGACTTTTTTTATGCCTTCCATTCAAAAACTAATGGACAATCAAAAGTGGTCAATAAAAATTAAGGTAACCTAGTTAAATATTTGGTTGGCAATTGTTAGGCACAAGAGATTTAATGCTTTCTATTATAGAGTTTGGTTATGATAATTTTGCGCACTGCTAAGAAATCTCTTTTTGAGGTTGCTCATGACATGCATCCTAGAAAACTTATAAATCTCATGTCATTACTTCAACAAATATATTTTCTTAATTTGATGTGCCTTTTGCTAAGCATTTACATGTACATAATTTCGACATAAAGTTACAAATTCCTAAGCAAAATGATATAAAACTATGGTTGATACTCAACAAAGAATGGGGAATTTAATAAGGGTGATTTTTTTCTTGTTCAAACTCAACCAAAATGTATTCATCCAAATATAAGAACTTCAAGGGTTTACAAAATTCTTATAAAATTAGGTTCAAATTCTCATTGGAATGATTTGAATCAACAATTTAATTTTAATCATGTGCTTAATGTCAAAGATCTAATAAATCATCGAGGCACCATTGATCCTTTCATACTTACATTCATTCTTTCTATAGGTGAAGATTCTACTTGAATGAATAATGTTATTGCCACAAAGATTCCTTCCACCATAATTGCCCCATCTAGTACAGTAAATATAATTTTTACAGAAATAATTTCTATTATAGAAATAAGTTAGTCAAATAAAGAGATAGGAGTAATAAGGATTTAGTTCAAGTGAAGTGTATTAAGAATAAAGACAAAAAGTGCTTTTATTAGAAGAGGGTATTCAACAAAGATGGATGAGATATTTTGCTAAACTTTTCAATGAAGATTGTCAGAATACGATTGACTTTAGTGACCTTAGCATCCTAAATGAAAATAAAGATTTTTTATTTTATCGGTATATTAGTAAAAATGAAGTTTGAGAGGCTTTAAAGAAAATAAAGTGTGGAAAAGCTATTAAACATGATGGTATTCCAATAGAAGTGTGGAAATGCTTAGGAGATGAAGGAATTTATTGGCTTACTAAACTTTTTAATATTATTTTGGAGACTAAAAAGATGTAAGATAAGTGGAGAATGAGTGTGTTAATTTATATTTTTAAGAATAAAGATGATACACAAGATTGTGTGAATTATAGAATTAAGTTGATGTGTCATACTTTAAAACTATGAGAGAGAGTTTTGGAGCATAGGTTGCAGCGTGATACTAATGTTTCTCAAAATCAATTTGGATTCATGCCGAGTAGGTCAACTATAAAAGCTAAGCATTTATTGAGAGGTTTGATGGAGAAGTATAGAGACAATAAGGAGGATCTACATATGATATTTATTGATTTAGAGAAAGCATGTGATAAAGTTGTAAGAGAAGTGCTATGGAGAGTTCAAGAAAAGAAAGGGGTAAGGGTTAATAATGCTTATATTCAAGTCATTAAAGGAAATGCATGCAAAAGTGTTACTTGTGTTCAAACACAAAGTGGTTTGACCAAGTATTTTCCTATCTCAGTTGGATTATATGAAGAATCAGCCTTATAACCATATCTTTTTGCTTTAGTCATGAATGTTCTCACTAGACATTTGCAAAAGGTTGTCCCTGGTGTATGTTTTTTGCTGATGATATTTTCTTGTTGATAAGACTAGAGAGGGAGCTGAAGGTATACTTGAATTATGGAGGTCAACTTAGAGTCTATAGGCTTTATTTGAGTGGATCTAAAGTGCATATATAGAGTGTAATTTTAGTAATAATAGATCTAGAGGGGGGATTGTATTTAGGCATCAAATCATTAATAAGAGTACTGTTTTAGATATCTTGGGTCTATTATTTATAATGATGGTGAAATAGATGGGATATTATAGTAGATTCAACTTGGAAGGTTGAAGTGGAGGAATACAATGGGCTTGTTGTGGATAGAAAGTCCCCTCAAACTTAAGGGAAAATTCTATAAAATGGTGGTGAGACCTGCAATGCTTTATGGTGCAAAATGTTGGCCATTAAAAGAGAAGCATAATATTAAGTTAAGTGTTGCAAAGATGAGGATGCTCAGGTGGATGAGTGGCTTTTAAAAGAGAAGCATAATATTAAGTTAAGTGTTGCAAAGATGACGATGCTCAGGTGGATGAGTGGCTTTACTTTTAGACAGGATACGAAATGAGCATATACGTGAAAAAGTTAGAGTAGCTCTAGTGGAAGATAAGAGAGAGACGCCTTAGATGGCTTGGTCACATAAAACGGCGGTCTTCCAATGACCCAATTAGGAAAGTAGATGTATTAGATTTGACTTATGTTAAGAAAGGTAGAGGTAGACCTAAAAAGGCTTGGTTAGAAAATATAAGAAATGGCCTTTCTTTATTAGATTTAAATGAGAATTTGACTAATAACAAGACACAATGGAGAAAAACTATTCATGTAGCCGACTTCACATAGTTGGATAAAGGCTTGATGTTGTTATTTTGTCGTTGTTGTAGGGAAATAATTTCTACAAGTTCATCTAGACTACCCAAGTATCAAGTTCATAGGAAGAATCAGCCTCCTAGTGAACACTCTTGAATCACACATGAAGTGTTGAAGTTAGTATCACACCTACTGTGCCACATTCCTAACTCTTTAGAGAAGAGTTATTATAGCCCCCAAGAATTGATGTAATACATAAGCCCAAAGCAAGAATTAGAGCTAGGTCAAAGTCAAGATTGAGTAAAACATATGAAATTTAATTGTATTTCTTAGTTCTTTTTTCTATATAAATTATTATTTTTAAGTTATATCGAGTTAAATGGGATGAATTATCCATTTAGACAATACAAGGTTTAATTTTGAATTATTTACAAGGACGTATTCAATTTGGATAGGATTAGTTTTAAAATTCAATTATTATCCCATTTTCTATTATTTACAATGATATATTCAAGGTGTACTTATTATTCTCTTGCAAAAAAAATTAAACTATCTTTACATTCCATCTTTCTCTCTCCTCTCTCTGTTTCTTAACACATGATTTTCTCTCGTCTCCTGACTATCACCTTGCTTGTTGTCCTCCTCATCACTTCACTAGTAGCCTACTCACGCTCGCCTTCTACTTCATATTGCAACACCTCAGACTCCATCCAACTTCTTCCAGCTGCCAACGCTCATGCTTTGTTGTGATAAGATTTTGCCTGACTTCTCTAAGGGATTCTTCTTACCCTGACCTGCCCAAGGAATGAATTAGATTGGATGGCCTAAGATATTACAAGACTTCATAACCCAGATTTTTTAATGGAGATTTTTATAACCTAGACCTTTTTGAGAGAATTTTTAATTTGATAGCCCAACATTTTTTTTTTAACTAGGCCTTTGTAATCGGGGCATCCACACGGAATATTTATATTTAACTGCCTAACGTTTTTCAAGATTAAGTTTGGTAACTTAGAGTTCTATAGGATTAATTTTTTAAGCATAAGGGAGGGTTAGGGCTAATTTTGATATTGATTTTCGGATTTTTATCAAGAGTGGATCTTTATAACCAAGCATTCCCTATGAGGGAGTATGGAGCCATAGGAGGGAATGACACCAATAGGATTATAACCAAGCTTTCCCTACGAGGGATTATGAAGTCATAGGATGGATGACACCACTAGGTTTTTTATTTAGGATGTTGGTGACCTGAATCCAGCCTTGATGATTTAATCAGTTTTGATAGAACTTTACTAAATCAAGGAATGATAGAAAGGCAACATTTTCACTTAGAATTTGAGTTTTGCTATCTCAAACTCAACCCAGATGGCTGAACTGAGATATTTGCATTCAGTGGTTAGCTCAAATTGAAGGCAATAACTCTACATGGGGATTTAGAATTTTGGGAAAACCTGCAATCTCCTATTCTCTTGATATCGATAACAAAATGGTCATAAGTTATGAAGTAAATCAAAGAGAAAGGAAAGCATTACAACCGTCAGATGACGATGCAGTGATATCACAACAGGTCCCTAAGTATAAGCAACTGTGATTAGAGTATTCCAACAAATATTAATGGAGCAGTTACAATAGGAACAAAGTGCAAGTAAAATATTACTTGGATTAAATGAAGTGTTTTTAAAAAGTTGGATCAAAACAAAATGTGGTCTATAGTTTGGAAACTTATGCGCAATACGCAATAAAAAATTTGAAAAACTTTCAACATAAAATAAAATAGATGTAATCGGCATAAAGTGATGGAAAGAAAGAGCTGCAAACCTTTATATAAGTGTTTGGAAATATCTCCCTGAAGAAATTGAGACTTTCATGCCACCAGGTCTGTGTCAGGTAAATAGTGGTATTTCCATCAAAGCCCCTTTTTTTCAAGAATTCTGCAATCTCTTGAGCGTTGTAACAACTCTTTCTTTTCTTAAATCCATTTTGTTTGCAGATTTTCTTCTCCAGAACATCTGTTCTCAAGTCAATTGCAACAAAACAGCCATTTGACTTCTGATTCAGGGTTCTAAGGCTCCCAGCCATCATGTCTACCAGCTCCTGAATCTCTGGTTTCAGTTCAAGGCTTCCGAACATTGCTAAGCATGTTGTCGAGGCCAGGTCAGCATTCTGCTTCTCCCTCAATTTCAGATTTACCGAAGGGAAGTAGGTAGAAAGCCTCAAGTAACCCTTAGCCCGGAATATAGGTTCAATTTTTTTCACTATGAAATCTTCTGAAGCCCCATTAGGAACTCTCACTACAGCTGGGCTCCTGGAAGTTACTTCAGGGGGGAGCTCTTTAACTATCGTAATCACACCATCCAAGCTCCTCATGAATTTATCGACATCATACATATCTTGGAATATCCTGAATATTTTGAGGATTCAAAACAAATCATGTACAAAACCAGAAAATTAAACACTCGGTCTAGACAAATTACCTCTTTTGACCTGGTTCACTTCCCCTGATGTCAGGTAGGACAAGTGTGGCATTTACATACCTAGCAATAACCACAGCATCTGCAAGCTGACAAAATAGAAGGAAAAAAAAAACACTTACATCAAATTATAGAAAAAAGAGCATCAAGATTGCTGAAAAAACAAACATGCTAAATATAGAGTAGTTTTTGTCAGAATAAATGATGTGAGCATACAAATAACGTTTTTCTTTATTTTCTGGAACTTGTTATTTCCGGTTTTAATACAATGCAAAGGAAAAAACAATCCAATCATCCTTTTAGATGCCAATATCAACAGCTGAGAGCCTGAGGGCGCATTTAGAAATGCTTTACAGACAGCTACCAAACTCTGTTCGAGAAAAAAGTCTATATTACTCACCCATTTTTTTCAAAACTCCGCTTTTCTCATAACAAATCTATACCTATTTTTACAAGTACCAATAACCATACCAAGAAAACCCTAGATACCCTAGATCCGGACGAATTATAACGAAAAGAAGAGATCAATTGATTAGAACTTTGAAGATTTTTTAGTTGAGCAAAAAAACAGAGCATCTCCATGGCAATTAAAGATCAAAAGAGCTAGCTAAAAAAAGGGTTTCTGGTCTCATGCTTGGCAAATACAGAACACTAAGGGTTCATAGTACAGTTCATTCTGACTGTAAACAAATCCAAGAAGAAGCTCTTTAAAACTGGCCCGTAACTGAAACCAGCTCTAAATAAAGCTGAATTCAACAGCAAGCTGATGATATCATCTTTGATTCGAGGAATCGTATAAGATTCACCATGAAAAAATCTATTGACAAATACCTGCGACACATGATGGTCGGGACCATTTGTCAAAGAGAATACAATGAAACCTTTGGATGGCTCAGTATCCTCTGCATTAGCAAACCAGAAAAGCAAATTAAAACAGAAGGAAAAAGCAAGTATAAAACCAGTATACATAATTGACTAAATCGTCATAGTTTATGCGTTGATTTCAAGCATTCTCTTTATAAATTACTTGAAACCGGTTTGGTCCAGCATTGCTTCAGCTGCTGGCTATCAACATTCCAGGGACCCTTAGACAAAAGTGTTATTGCTGAAACCTTATTCTCCTCAAACTTCTTTAAGCGAACACCAGATTGCATTTGAAGACTCATCTGAGCACACAACAAAACTCTGTGAATGTTTGGGCTGGTCCTAACTATAAAAAAGAGCTAAAACGCAAGAAAATTTAATAAATACAAAATTTAGAGCGAAGCTAGGGCAGGTAACTTCATTCAAGAAACATAATTTGAAGCTCTGCATTAACATTAAAGAAGGGAACAGGAAATTGCGTAGCAAACATATGTGAATCAGAAATCCTTTTCTTTCACAATCAATCAATGAGGTAAAAATCACACAAAATCCAAGAGAATTGACCCATTTCTTGATGCAGGACTCAATTATCGACTCATCATCAGGATTGGAATATCATCACTTGTCTTATTTGAAAATGTAATCAACTTCCTCGTTGGTATTGACTACATAATTATGATTATTGGCCAAAACAAATTCCTTACTAGGGGAGGTTGTGATTCAAGTGGGCTTGGCCCAACCTATCATCCTAAGGGGCATCAACGTCGATGCCCCTGCAGTGGTAGCAATTAAAGGTCTCAAACTATGTCTCGAAATATTTCTATACCAAAATGGTCCAAAACCCAGACAAATTAGCAAGGTCAACGTTCATCAAATTTCACCAACCTGGTCAAGCCAAGTCAAGTTAGTTCAAGAGATTGCATAATAAGACAACATGATCAAAAGAATCAGAAATGTTTTGATCCGAATAAAATAACCAAAGCAACCCTAAGTTAAGCTCCAATCAAGTCAACTAATTGAACATACGACCAATATATAAGATTGATCATATATATGATATGTAAATCATACATATAATCAGCTCAATTTCAACAAATAAAAAGTAAAAAAAATCCAGTGGAACTCAACTTTTGGATTCCCTAGATGACTCAAATAGCTAGTTTTCATGATTCTTCATGTAAGTTTAGCCCCACATCTCCCATGAACAAAAGCGGAGGTAACCTCTTCATCATAAATAAAATGGGTATGATAGAAAAAGGGTAGATGTAGAAATATGGTGGTTTTGTTTGAATGACACTGCACCATCACCCAAGATGAATGAGACTCTTGAGCTCATCATCTCCTCATATAGATCCCTTCTCTACCTAAGTTGTCAACTAATAGCTCATAGGTTGTCCAACAACCCGGTAGAGTCCATGCCAACGGAACTATCCAATATGACCGTATGGATATGACGACAAGGTTCCCAAAAACCACTTGCCTTGTTCATTAACTGTTTGCTCACTGTTTTACCAATGACCTAAATGAGTTAACACTTGCAGAACCACATGTGCATGACTTTTTGGATGTAGGAAAGGAGGGGGCAAGTAGCCATGATGTCGATTGGTTGACCGCAAGCTCATTAGATGTCCAACACCCCAATAGGGCTGAGAAAAGCCATGTTGTTCATACATGACCTTTTGGATACAGCAATAATGTTCCTTGAATGATTATCGAAGCTTTTGCACCACCTTTATTGAGCATTATAGATGTGATGGTTACAGGCAAGGCAACCACCATTGCCCATTATCTAAAGGTTACACGAAACTCTAACATGCCTATTACTCCACTAGTCCATTGCCTCGAATTTATGTTAAGGATGATTGTAATTGGTCACCCATGTTTGATCTTGATCACTTGAGCATAAGCATATATATACAAACTTGAGCCCGATCAAGTGTTTGGGCTTGAGTTTGAGCCAGTGTCTGAACATGATATCATAGCAACAATGATGTTAAGACTGCTCCTTATTGTTCCATTACATCTTGAGACAAAGATACAGGATGTTATTGAAGCAAAGCATGAGGAGTCTTCAGTAACTGTTGTTATTACCAACTGATGTTACACGAAAGCTCCATCATGCCCATTACCTCCAATAACCCATTACCTGCACCAATTTATGTTAAAGATGATTATGCTCGGTCACTAATGTTCGAGCTTAAGCCTGAGCATGTAACCCAATTTGATCTTTGATCGCTCAAACGTGAATTTGAGCTAGTGCCTAAGCTTGATATCATGCTAGCTCATTATATTAAGACTAATCTTTAGTGGTCCATGCATCTTGAGCCAGAGACATATGAACTTGTTTAGCCCGAGTATGAGGAGTCTCTAGTAATTTTTGTTATTCCTAACTTATACCAATGGAAATACAATTTACTCTATCAATAGTACACAAGCAGAATTTGTTTATTCATAGCCACCACCACCATATCATAATATGCTTATTGATCAAATAAATGAGATGCAATGTGGCATCATGTATGGCGATATGCAAATATGAAGTTCACAAACTCTCCTCTAGTTGTTTGAGTTATTGATAGCCATCTTATTCCTTATGATGGACATCAACCTCATCTACATCTGCTAAATTACAGTATTTGTCTACATCTTGGTGTACTGAGAAAAGTACACAAGTCAGATCAATAGCCACAACCTTTAGACATGATTACTAGCATCATTCCACTACCAATAACACCACCCAATCCCCAACTAGTTGCTAGTGCACATGTTGGTTTGATGTTAACGTTCACCATAATCTCCAAACTACACAGATGGCCTTATTCCTGCCATTTGCAAATTGTACATGAGCAAGTTTCACCATCGCCTCATTTATAGACAATATCTCATCCAATTCAATTCTTCATATACGAGTTCTCCATACTTTAAGAGAGTAGATATAGGAATCTGCATCGATATAATATTTGGCATGTCTGACTAATCTTATTTCAATTTGTCAATATCTTCCTAATTTGGATTCATTGTATGCAAATGATGTAACCAAAAGACTATTTTATTTTGAGGAATCTTTCATATAAAACATTATCTTTACAAAAGTATTGACGCTCTTTTACTTGTTTCATATTGATATGTTCTTAGATGTAAAAATTCTCCTCATAAATAAATGATGCTTGTATGTTGAAAAGAATATTCATGACTAATACAAACAAATTTCAGGCAAAGCCTAGACTACTTCCTCCTCGGTTTTCTACCTCCACTCTAATTTTATTTCACATGTTTCTCTAATCTTATTTGGATTTGTCAACATCTTTCTTATTTGGATTCAATGTATAACAACGATGTAATCAAAAGGCTATTTTATTTTGAGGAATCTTTCATATAAATCTTATCTTTACAAAAGGATCCATCATATTTCTTTTGATATTGTTTTACTTGTTTCTTATTGATATGTTATTAGATGTAAAAGATTCTCCTCATAAATAAATGATGCTTGTATTTTGAAAAGCATATTGATGAATAATACAAACAAATGTAAGCAAAGCTTGGACATCTCCCGCCTCGGTTTTCTACCTCCACTCTCTCTCCCCTCAACTTTCCTCCTCACCCTACTCCCCTCTTTCTATGGCCCTCTTCCTTCAAGACTCTCTCCTTTCTCCAAGCACTCACGGCCAAGAGCAATTCCAATGTCTTAGATTCTCATCATTTATTCAACCTAGAACATCTTGGCTGCCAAAGTATCACCATGCCCATTCGTCTAATACCAAGAACAGTAAAGCAGTGGCAAAGCCCAATAGATGAATCGGTTTCTTGACAACAAAAAGCATCTAATTTCCACATGAATGCATACAGAAGCTGGTGAAATGGACGACCGTAGCTGCCAGTTCCAATACACTTCAAGCGTGCTTCTTACACTCCAACTGAACACAACAAGAAAGCCTAAGAATATGATATCTCAAAATCCAACCTTTTAATGTGTCAAACTAAATCATCTCTACTACTAACCATAATAAATCAAATCAACAGAACTAAATTCAACCAACAGCACATTTCAACAAGAAGAATCCCAGAAATAAAAAATGGAAGCTACAATCAACTAGTCCGTTACCTTGTAGGCATCGAAATGGTCTCTCTTGATCATATTCCCCAGCATAGCGAACATGGAGATGGTGAGGAAAGCCCCCAGAATCTGCCTTGGATCCACTGCCATTGTCGCAATCCGCCAAAGTGTAGAACACCGAAAGACGGCGAAAGAGATCAGGCGAGCAGAGATTGGCACAGAGAGCAAGCGCAGAAACAAAGACGAGACTCCTTGGCCCTGAAATGTAGCAGATAGAACGCGGAGCCAACACCTTTTAAGAAATGGAGGCAGAGGGAGAAAAGAAGCTATTGGACTGATAATTTCTCTGGTCGACAAATTAGTGGGTGCCGACGTCCAATTATTAAGAAAATAACACTTGAGCCTTCTCTTATATTTTGTGTTTAATTCGAATTTAAATTTTTTAATTTTCTTTTTTATCAAGTCAATATTTATTGCATTTTCATGGTATTTAATAAATATAAATAGAAGTAAAAACATTTAGCAGTACTAATTAATGCATCATATAATATCTTAATGAAATGGACAATGAATAAATATTAATAAAATAATTTCAAATAATTGTGTGCATTAATTGCCATTTGCTTCAAATTAATATATGAATTATGGTGTAGTTAAAAAAAATTTATTGGAATGGCTATTTTAAAAAATCTTATGAATTCTTATGGAGCCAAAAAAATTGAGGGGAGACGTAAATTTGCTATTTTAAAAATATCATTAATATGTTTTAATATATATCTATAAACTTATATTTTTGGAGGGAGCATAGATTGAATATTTTTATAAAAATTATATTTATACATTTTTATTTCTCATTGCTTCTATAAACTTATACTTTTTATTGAACATCTAATAAAATCTCATTGCTTATCTCTCTAAAATATTTATTTTGCATATACAATTGGAGAGCATTATCTCTTATTAAAATTCAAGAAGCAAAACAACATTAAGTTGTTGGGATCAAGAGAATAATTTCTGAGGATTTTTAGAAGTATGACTACTCTTTGAGGAATTTAATATTTGTATTTCAATATTAAATGGTAGAAATAAAGACTTGGAGCCCACTGTGTAATAGGTATCATTCACTCAAGGACTATGATAAGGGCATTTTAAATATGCATTGGATTTGTAGTAACTTAGAATTTTAGCTAATTATTGAACTGCACCAAGAACCATCTTAATTTTAAGGGATATAATTGCATATCTACTACTTTATCTTGGCCACACTATTATGATTTTATGGGGAACTTGTGTTGACTTCATAGGACCAATTAGGGGCCAAAAAATAGCTAGAAAACTTTGACTAGGAGCTCATCATTGAAAATAAGACAATTAGCAATGATTTTAGAACTGTGGTTATTGCCTCAAAATGTGAGATTATAATTAAAGGAATTATGATATATCATAATATGGAAGAAGCTCCTTCATTCCCCTCTATGCCTCCTTTCTTAAATTATGGATGCAATCAGTGATGAAGAACACTTTCGACAGCCAATGAAAATGAGAGAAGGAGCGCAAGCTTGAGACCCATCAAATAATTATGTATAACTGTTGATCTCATTTTTTGTATGAGGTCACTTGGACCAATCCTGACCCTAAATCAATTTAATCTCCAAATCAATCCAAACTCTAGGATCCTCCTAGAATCCCGACCTTAGGATCTATTATAGGTCTTATGATCCTTCTAGACTTCATACCTTTTGATCTACTTAGATCTTAGATCAATCCAGACCTTAGGGTCTACTTAGATCTTAGATCAATCCAGACTCAAATCCAAGGCCAAAGGTCCAAGTCCTAAAAGCCTTTTTTAGTGAATTTTCAAATACTTCAAAACCCAGTCAAATGACCTCTGATTCAGATTCTATCACTTGTAAAGTGATAAGATATGTCTCCAGAGGTAACCCTTCAAATTTGATCCAATTATGAGTTATCTAACCCCAGAAACTTAATCGAATTCCAAATGCTGTAAAACCTTCAAATATTTACGGCCTATGCCACTTAACCTGTCATTTAGTAGATCCTGACCTTGGAGCTTTATCCAAAGCCTCTAATCACTTCTAAACCTTTAATCCTGACCTATTGAATATTAAACTGCATTTTTGTCGACCCACTTTGACCCCCCAGTTGACCAGGGGTCAAAATGACCAAAATGCCCTTTTAAGGCAATTTTGAAGTTTCTCTGGATTTCAACATGCCATTTTCAAATCAAACCCTAAAACCTCTCCCAATACATCCTAATCACCATTAGGAACACATTAGATTCAAACTCTGAACCTGGTCAAATCTGGTTGACCAGATCGACCTTTTTTACCAAAATACCCTTATGGGGTTCAAATACCCATTTCAAACCAAATGACCTCTAAATTGTTTGTAACCACTTCCAATAATTTTCAAATATCAAAACAAACCTGATGAATCCATTTCCAAACCCTGGACCCACCCGGTTGACCAAGTCAACCAAGGTTGACTCAATCAGCCTTTAAACCTATTTCCACCCAATTAAGCTCCAGTTTAATTCTGAATCCTCTAAAACTCTCTTGAACTCATCCTAATTGATTTGTACTTGACTGATCATCCTGACCCAGTCACTAGTTGATTTGGTCAACTTGGCCCATATCTGGTCAAACTTGGCCCATTTAGGTCTATATTTAAACTCAATTCAATAAAGCTTGTCAAATTTCCATGTCCCTTCAATTATATGCTTTAAACTTCTCTGAATCTAATATGAATCAAGTTATGGCCTTTTTGACCAAGTTAACCCATTAACCTTTGGTCAAACCACCTTAAATCATTTCCAAAATATTCAAGCCTTAATTCTTGAGTGTCAAACCCTCTTCAAGCTATTTTAATTAGCTCCTCAACTATCCTTGGCTGCCACCTCAGCATTATTGACCATATTGACTGGTCAAACAGTCAATATAAAGCTTTAAAAGGCTTAGATGGTCGATCTTGCCCTAATGAACATGCCACCTCAAATCCACTTCACTTCAGCAGTTTCAAATAGCTTCTAGAGTATTCTTAAGGTAATCCTAATCCTTAGATTAGGATTAGATCAAATCTAAATTATCCCTTGTGCCCAAAGGACATTTTCACCTTTCCACATAGATGTACTTTGTCCTTTTTGATTCCCTGCTTCTAACTGCCCTGGAGATAAATGGAATGCATCAAGGAGGCTTCCAAGTCGATCAGAATCGTCCCCTATAGCCAAGGTATCTTGAATAGGGGAAAGGACTAAAGAGCGAGGATTCTAACGCTAGCATTCTCTCACTCAATCCCTCTTCCCCAGAGCTATTTCAGCCTCCAAAACTCTCTAAAACCTTCTCCAGGCCTTTCCCTAATGCTCCCAAGCTTTTCTTCATCAAAATCTAGCCTCCAAAGCCCTCATTGAATAACTTCAAATACAGCCAGAGCTAGCTCTTGGAGTCTTCACCAAAGTTGAAGAAGGCATCTTTAGCTTTCCAACAAGCCCAATAAGTCAAAAATCAGACAGTTGGATTGTAAGTTATTCTCGTTTTTAGTAAAATTTTAAATTTAAAACTGTAGCAAATCTAAAATGCATGGAGCCTCCAAACTCCAGGCATTGTTAGATCACGTTGCCCTCTAGTTACAGTTCAAATTTCGTGCAATTTCATCAAGTATTTTGAAAGATATGAGCATTTAAAAATCTTTGACTCTGGTTCAACCAGAGCCATCCGATCGCGCTCGCTTTTAGCATGATCGGACGACCCAGAAATAGCCGCTTCACCTCCTAGACTTACGCGGCTACCCTCTGGCTCGAACGCGGGTCATTCCTTGGTCTTGATGCCGGCGTGGCTCTCTCGTAGCTGCCCGATCAGATGCGGTAAACGGACGATCGATCCAGCCATCTGACGTAGTTAAGTGGCAGGACCCAGCCCGCCACGTGTTACAACGCCATTCCTCGCCGCCGTTTCAACGCCAATCATTGGCACCGGCGGCCGGTTTGACCAAAATTATATTAAAAAGAATTAAAACAAATGCCCTTATCATCTAAAATTCACAGAAAATCAAGTTTTCCACTAAATGGGAAGTTCTTGGGCTCGTTGGAAAGGAAATTTAATGTAGTATTTATTAAAACTAAAATTAAGTTTATTTTATTTATGTATTGTGAGATATTTAAGTTTATATTAATTTCATTTTTTGTAATTTTCTCACAATCTCGTGGTCAACTGAAGTCCAAATTTTGTTGGAAGATTATTGGGTATCTTAGGCATGTTTAATGATTTTCCTAGGGTCAAATACTTAATAGATCTCTGTGATGTGAATTTTTAAGGTAAAGGATCCATTTTAGACCCTAAACTTTAAAAATTCATAACTCCCTAGATTTTTTGCATTTTGCTGTAAAACTTCTATGATGTGAATGCATATGTACCAGGGTTAAATACACCAAGTTTCAAGCCAATTTGAACAGTATAGACACTTAGGAAAAATAATTAAGGAAGTGTCTAGAAACTTAGAAAATTCCTAGGGTATTATATACACACCAATAGGGGTGAAATTCAACAGCATTAAACTTAGTGACATTTCAAAAAACCATAGGTTAAATTTCACCTAATTTGGAGTTTATTTGATAGAAAATTAAACAAGTCAAAATTAGTAAATTAAGCTTTAAAACTTCCAAAAATTACAATAAATCAAGTTTTACTCTAAAAAATATAAATAATACCTATAATTGACCAGAATCAAATCCTTAATCAATGAAAATTAAAAGCTCTTTGATTTGACAGCAAAATTGAACCTAATTTAATTTTAATTAAAAATTAATATTTAATTAATTTATTAATTTAAAATAATTAAAAATTTCAAAAAATTCCCAAACACTTGGGAATCTCTCCTTAGGTCATTCCTAACTTTTGGTGTTGATTTCAAGGAGTTTGAAATTCATTTGGAGCAAAATCAAGAAAATCCCTCTAATTAAATAATTAAATAAATTCAATAAATACACAAATTTTGAAAATTCATAATTAATTCTAGAAAACTTCAAATTGACCAAATTCAAAAGCATTCAACTCATAATTAAATCTAGTATTTATTAAAAATATTAAACCTTCAAAAATCACTCAAAGTCAAAAAGTCAACAAATCGGTCAAACTTAAGTCAAAATTAGTCAAATCTTCGAACCTTCATAACTAAATAAAAAAAATCTAATTTTAGCGTACTTATAGTCTAACTGATCATATTAAGGTCTAGTATTTTAA